TACTTAGAACTCGAGACCCTCGACAGCCAACCCCTTAGCTAGATTGAACGTAGTTTAGATAACGAAGTTCTACACTTACCTTACTTTACCTTGTAGTCAAGCGTCTCATCCGTCTTATATCATCATAACCCAGGGTCAAATAAGATTTCACTTTAAGTATAGGCTCATCGAGCGCCAAGCGGCTTATACCTTGTACCTAATATAGGTATAACCAAACCAAGGATGCTGTCGTGTGACGAATCTCGGTCCCCTACCACTGAAAGGGACTCCTCAGACTGAAGGTTGACTTAGACGGGGTGAGGTTCGGTAGAGCCAAAGGGTCTACAACAAGTGCACAAGCAAGTGTTCACACAGTAGTAAAGACAACTGCTTGCATTGCTTACTGGAGAACCTCTGGCAGGTCCTCCAAGGGAATAGCTAGCTATCTAATATACTAATGATTGTCTTTGAGAATCACTCCTTGCTCCTAGTGATCTCTGTGCTGACTCACCTGGCTCACTTCGTGATCCCAGTGATCCTTATGTTGGCTCACTCTCCTTCCCTAGTGATCCATTCTGATTGGTTAGTTGAGTGATTGGCTGCCGCGGCTCCCCGCGCTGCGGCTGTGACCATGCCTGGCCGCCAGTAAGGTCTGTTCGTGACATGTCGATTCACGATCAAGTGGAGAAATAACCTATGTGACTCTATACTGTAGATACCTTTCTTGTAAGCATGTCCACTACTAGATATCCGGTGAACACCGATGTGGGCTACTCGTACCATTATCAACTGCCAGTTCTCAATAGAAGGGCAGTTTGCTGCAGCACTGGAAAAATAGTTCCAACTCAAGGACCGTCACACTACTAGTAGGGCCGAGCATTTACAGCATAGTACTTAAGATCTAGACTAAACAAGAGCAATAATATCTCGTCAACTTAACCGCCTACCTTAGGGTTGATAGTAGGTTAGTAGTAGTATAAGTTTCTCAAGCTAACTACACAAGGGCCTCCGCCTCGGACACCCTTTTCACAATCTGTCTTCCAGCCCTTATTGCAGGCCTTGCAAAGAGCATCACACATCCAACTGCGGCAACGGGGACTGCAACAGCCCAATACACCCAGAACCGGCTCCCCCCAGCCGCAAAGTCTCCGCCCATGGAGAAAACAGCGGCGATAAGGGACAGCGGGAGGAAGATGGTCGCCAGAGAGGTCAAATACCCAACTTGTCGCGCCTGTTTGTTTGCGTCGCTCGTCTCGCGCACCGAAATCGACTGCATGTACGCCTGCAGTATGACATCGAGCCTGGCCTTCAGATTGCCGATGGCGACGCGCAGGCCCTGCCATGCATCCGCCTCCCACGGTTCTGGTGTTCTCGGGCTGTCCGAGGAGCCTATGCCCAGCGCGTCCATGTTGCGTCGCAGCTCCCAGTCGAGAGCCTCGAGTGACGATTTGGCGTGGACCAGACGCGCAAAGTCGCGAGGGTGCCAGGGCCGTGTCCAGGACCGCTCGTACGTGGGAACCTCAGCTCGGGACAGGTCGACGATGCTCAGCGCGAGCTGCTCCTTGACGAGCCGGCACTCAATGGCACGTATGCGGGCTGTCCAGGCCGAAAGAACCAGGATTCGGACGTAATCCACGCAAGAGTTGGGATCCGAAGTAGACGGGCGCTCGCGCAGGGGATAGAGCTCGATAAGGGTCTTGAACGTGGAAGCGGCGCTCGAGGCGGACAACGGCTTTTCATCCGGAATAATGGGTGGATACCACGACCCCGTCTGGTTGAGGAATGAGAAGCCCGGGCCGGCAACGTCGATTCGATCTATTTGAGTGACCTTTCTCGGAGTTCTTGAGTCCTGCCACCATACGAATCTCCCAAGAGGTGCGTCAACAAGGAGAACAGCTGGAATCAAGGTAGTGTAGGTGTTAGTGACCAAGAGCGTTCAACGTCGAGGTGGGATCCAAAAGATCATACCATCCCAGCTCTCTCCATCCAACTTGCTCCAGAATGAGACATGCTCAGCGCTTACTAGAGGACCGTCCTCATCCCCAAAGATTGTTGTACGCGAAACGATACGCCGGGTAATCGAATCCATTTGGTAGAACGGACTCTTCTCGTCTTCAGGAAGCGCCTCGACCCTTGCCTGGTGCAGCTTGGAAAAGCCGAGCCTAAACCGATACTTATTGTCATAATGACGAACTGCTTGGTTGACAAGGTCGCCATTGTAGCCTGGCGCAATCCAATGGGACGCGAAGAAATCGGGTGGAACTTGCAACTTGGTCCCGATAACCTGTATATAATTTCTAGCCAGGCCCTCGAGGACGATCAACCGTCGACGTACTCCAGGATTTCCATGCCCAGTGCTGTTCAAACGGTTCCTGAGCGCTCCCGAAGACGCCAGAGGTCGGCTCGATGGCTCAACCGACGGCTTTGCACCATCCTGAAAGGTGATCAAGACGGCCCTCGCTTCTTCTCTGAGAGGCCCCTCCTGGTGAGACAGGCGCCTGACAAACTCAGGATATGTGTGGCCTTGTGTGGACTCGAACAGTGACCAGTATTGTGCTTCCTCTTGTGTCTCCGTCATGGTGCCCGATACATAGTTACTATGCTTGAAAAACGGGTGAGAAGGAAGCCACGAGCATACTAGAGACTTTGTCCCAGGCCCGGACAGGCCCGCGATCTGGTATCCAATCGCGTGTCTGGGTGTCAGTCGTTGTTGCCTACCTTACCTAAGGTACCTAGGACACAGTAATGCTGAAAGGACCTCGGTCCATTTTCTGCAGGCGGTACACTTGTTCGCCGGCCATTTGCCAGACGCCTGTCGGCAGATTGAACAGGAGACTCACAAAGTGCTATAATTGGCCGGGGACTGCAGCATACCTGCCCCAGTGCGTAGTGAAGCTTGGGCAGCTACTATTCCAAAGATTGAGCAGCCCTTCACTGCCGGAACCCGACTGATGCTTGCGCAGTTTCCTGTCTGAATTCCATAAAACAATCATCTCCCTCGAAGGCGAGGATCTATGACCATCTGGAAGAGCCTACAGCCTGCATCGCCCACATATATGGTACGAGATTGAGCTTGTCGACCTCGGAAATCGCGACGTTGACGCCCTCAGGGATGGATTTCAGCGACCAAAAGCTCGAAGACATCTTCACCGCCTGCATCTTGTATTTCGGTCTCGCCATTGACAACGCCTCGGACATTACTCAGGCCTTGCGCCTTTCTGTCCTTCGGCTCCGACTTTCTCGATGGGGCGAAGCCGTCGATATTTACAAAGCACCAGCGCTTGGCGACTTCGATCCGTCCCCAGATGAGTTCTCAAGCGCAAGGAAAGCTCTTGTTGAAATCATTGGTTTATTCCAGAAGGACGACGTCCCAGTTGCGCTGGCTGCTGGGGGATCACACTCCACCGGCAACTTGAGCGGTCCCGAGACTCGTGCGGAACACAAGCAGCTCCTACGCACCCTGAGATATATCGCATTAAAACGACTCCAAAAGCCCGCGGGAGGGACGCCACTATCGACTTCGTTGGAAAATCTCTGGTCAGGGAGCTGGTCGGCTATGAAATCGGGGAAGGCGGCTTCTTGGATGTCGACCCTGGAAGATCTGTTCGGTTCGCAAGATCTCCGAGAGCTCGCGTCCAATGAACGTTCATGCATCCAAGGGGAGGCGGCTATTTCGTCTTTAGAAGCCATCGCAGGGGGAGACACGGATACCGGTACTCTCGACCACTGGATAGCCCGTAGGGAAGGAAGAGTTGGACGCCCAGACCGCGCCGGCCATGACTACGAAAACGTGGGCGTGTTGGGCAACTTCGGCTTCGGTGGCAACTTCCACATTGGTTCCGAAAACGTTGTCATCATAAGTAGGGAGGTGGATCATGATGGGAAGCGGATCAACAGCTGACAGACAACTGCATGAGCCCACAGGGCATGTCAGCTATCAGCTAACGTGTACGTTCATGCAGTGTCTGTTAGCTGTTGATCCGCTTCCCACCAGGGTCCATTTCCCTAGGTAGTTATGGTGGTATTCGATTAGAGCAAATCTGTTATTCGATTAGTGGTAGGTCACTTGTAGCTCAAATTTCAACACTTCAATTTCAGGCCACTTTTCTTTGCAGGCTCAACGTCGATCCCAGCCACCGATTTCCTCAATCAACAATTGATCAAGTCTATTACATTGATTGAAGCTATGCCATTCGATTGAATTTCATGCGAATCCTACGGCTACGTTGTGATAGGCGGATTGAAGCCATCGCCGATTTCGCAATGGATAGATACAGCGGAATCTAGGCGGGTTGAAACCGCTGACCGGAGCGTTGACCTTGCACGTCGGTTCGGTACAGGCCGGTCAATCAAAGCTATCGCCATGAGGTATAACTACCTTGCTATGGTAAGGGTTGATTCTGGCCATTTCCGCCCTTCACATTACCGGTACCCTGAACGTTTCCATTCTCGCCAACACGCAATCCCCAACCCCACCAGCCTTTCCACAACCATGCGCTACTCCCCGCCGACACAGCCAGATACGCCGCCATGACCGCAACCAACCAATACCTGACCCACAGCCTCGTCTCAACCGTCTCCAAGCGCCCCATGACGCCCTCACCATCGACATCCGCTGTGTTAGGCACCACCCCTTCCCTCGCTACCGCCACCCTGTATATCGAGGCAAACGCCAGCGGCAGCGCGTCTTCCAGTAGCGCGGGGTCATGAATCACTGCAAGGGCTGTCTCGTTGGCACTCTTCTCCTCCTCGCCTCGTTCAAGTCTTCTCTCAGCCGCGATGCCCAGTGCAAACTGCGCCATCTTCGTGCTCGCCGCCCCCTCGTTCAGCGATCCCCACTGCACCTCCTGAAGCCCCAGCAGATCCTCCTCGAACAACTCGTGCGAAAAGTCCTTGGTCGGCACCACCGGTTCAGTTGCCACGAAGCCGACAAACATCGGGTCTGTGTCGGCTGTAGTGTTGGTAGTGCCATTCCCAGCGGCGGCAGCCTCGGGCGGCGGCCAAGACACGGTCAGTTCTCCAGGTGTGGCGCTGTACCCGGCAATGCAGGATATCAGGGCGGTATCTGCCATGCTCGCGGTCTCCGTACTGTTGTCGAAGGTAGCAGTTGCCGTCAGCACCAGTATGCGCGTAATGCCGTTGGCGAGGCCGCACGCTTTCTGGTGAAACGCCTCGACCACGAGCGGGCGGAGGACCGGGCTGAACGTGAACATGTACGATATAGCACAGGAGCGGTCGGTTGCGGTGATGCGGGCCTGGAAGAAGCCCGTGCGCCTCCCGAGGTCGTCGAGGGTCAGGTTGAAGGTGGAAAGGCGTGTGCACGATAGGTGCGCGGCGTAGGCGGTCGACGGCGCCGAAAGGGTTACACGTTCTCCGTCTCGCTGAATAGGGGTGGCGGGAGAGAAGGGAAGGAAGGCGTGGGTGCCGTTCGTCCACGGCGCAGGCGCTCCCGTGTGCAGGACCTCGGCGGTGGTCGAGTCGGTGATGAGATTCCATTGCGAGGGCGTGAGAGAAGAAAGCCGAGAGCGGTTGAAGCTCACTAGGTGCTGGACTGTGACTGGGCTGAGGAAAGTTGACTCCTGCGGCGCGATGAGCGAAGCCATAAGCGGTTGTAGGACAAACGTGACGAAGATGCTCAGCACGAGGGCGGTGGCGAGATTGAGGTCGCCGTTGCGAAAGGCATGCCAAGGACGGGAGGGCATGAGTCTCTCGAGGTAGTCTACGTGATGCCGTCAGCTTTGGCGGATGTGGGTGGTGGGAATCGTGACAATATCTTACTGAAGGTACGGTTTGGGGACGGATTCTTGAGAATCAGCAGGAGAGAAGCGTCTTTCACACCCCTGGCGCTGTTCTCAATATCGGCACGCGAGATATGGTGCAGCGCCTCGTCGACAAGCCAGTTCCGGCATAGAGCAAAGAGCGAGATTATGAATGGCGGGAGAGACTGCCAGAGAATGCTCCACTCCATGCCAACGGAATCGAGGAAATCGTTTTTGGTTAAGGGTGTCCTCGCGAAGCCATTGTTGCGGATGGTGAGAGCGAGTAGAGTGAGGAGGGCAACAAGGAGGAGAATATGAGCGGCGAGGACGCCGAGACCCTGATAAAAGCTGATCCCGGGTTCAGGACTGCGTGGTTGTGTCCCGCTGGTGTTTCCTCGAAGTCCACTGGCTTTAGCAGTGCTGCTTCCAAGTTTCAAACCCGCCGCCACCGCAGCACGGAGCGGATTCCGCATTGCAGCGTTTCGACCTCCACTCGTGGTAATCGAAATCTGCCACTATTGATGTAGTTTCAGGCCGCCGGGCATGATCATATCATCATGATCTAAGAAACAGCCGAACGGCGATGGAGAAGAGAAATGTGAGGGCGTATAATCCAAGTCTCAGCTGATGACTCTCCGCGAAGTCGACCATATAGGAACTTAACATGCTAGGTAACGCACCCGGCCCTCCCTCGGCAAGTCTAGACTCCGCGAGCGCTGCAGAGCCCCAAGATAGCTGGTCCTGGTCTTGGGCTGCTAAAGTCAGGGAGATGCCCCTGCAGCATGGGGTCAATATAGCGCTCAGGATGGAGACTCATTGGTGGCCCAGGTGCGGCTGAGAACTCTCTAGCGCAACTTCACGACACGGAACAAAACGCCACGAGGCCTCATGATTCGCGTCTGCGGGGTTTGTGGCAGCCACGGCGATAAAAACGCCGGATTGGGTGTTCCGGGGAGCGGGTTTTGAGATCGCTGTCGCACAAGGACGACACGCATGTTCGCGTCCTCGCGATATATGTGCATATTCGCCCCCAGGAGTTTCCCTGACAGCGGCACCTGCAACTGCACAGTAGTTCAGTTAAGCCCCGCCAAGACTTCCGCCATGAAGAAAGAGACCATCATCCACCTCGGAGTCCTGATCCTCCTGCGATCACCAGCCTGCCACGCCCAGTTTGATGATTTGTGGGAGCGCTGTCCGACTGTTGAGCACCAAAACTGCGATGTGGCCATCGAAATTAGGGCAGATGCCTGTGGCACTACAGAACCTCTACCGAATTCTACCTGCAACTGCAGACAAGACTTCATTGACAGCTATGTGAAGTAAGTCCGTCCGGTAAGCATGGCAGGCGAAGTTGTTCATTGCTGACCCCTCCCCAACATGAAGCTGCCAGGCCGAGTTCACCTCTTGCACGGGCGACCAAGTCATCAAGCCCAGCGAGTGGGAGGATCTGTTTGCACTCTGGCAAGACAAGTGCGCTGCCCTAATATCAGCAGGCTCCCTCACCATGCCGACGCCCACCACCACGCTGTCACCCACTGAGCGAAGCCAGGCCCCGCTGGCCTCGTGCGACGTCGAGGGCATGGACGACCGCGCCGTCATCTGCGACCAGGTCGACCGAAGCTTCTCGTCCTGTTTCAGTATCACCGTCGATGCTGTGAACACGCTGGGGGCGTTTCCATGCCTCTGTGATGGAAACTTGCTGCGCTTGATGGACGAATGTAATGCAGAACTTGAAGACCAACTAACAAAGTGCGGCTATTCAACGACCGTGATGGGCAGTCCGACACAACTCCGCTCGACATGTTCCCAGCTTGGCTTGACTGCGGTAAGCATGTCAGACGAGGATTCTAGGTGAGGTTTGGTGTGTAAGGAAGCAAGCTGACTGGACGTTGTGAGTAGGACATTGTTGCCACAGCTACAGTGACAACTGGAACCTCAACGCTGCAGGGGACGAGCACGCCTAGTATCACGTTTGCGCCACTTGGTCCTGCGAGTACCACGACAAGCAGATCAGGGGGGCAACTATCTAGCTCTCTACACGGAGAGCTGGTGGCGGCGGCGGCTTTGGTGCTGGTAACTTGGTGGTAATAGAAGCTGGGATCCTTCGGGTGACTGCCTGGTCGTTCGCCGGTGTCAGTGATTCATTCTTGATCAAAAGCCGAGAATGGTTTTCTCAGCAAGGGCACGCAACTAGCCAATCAGGAAAATGTCGACAGACAGGTCGTAGTAAGCAGATGTTCGACCTAAAACACAAACAAACCAACTTCCTAGAGATATAATCACACCCGATGACACCTCATTGGTGTCAGTTTCAAGATCAGCGAAGAAACGGAGTACCTAGCAAAGGAAGACAGTCAGGTACTTCACCCTGGTATGTACATGTAACCATAATTGGTGAGCTCAGGTCCGTTTCTCCACCGATCAGTTCGGGCCATTGCACCGGGTAAGGCCACGGTGAGGGTACTGACCGCCGAGGTAGTTATCTTTTAGTCTCATCGTCCGAAATCCGATATGCCGAATATCTATTCCACAGCCTTCCACAGGTAAGTCACCGTGACCTTACCTTGGATGAGACAGTACTCTCACTGAGCTACCGTGGCTAGATTACACTAATGGCTACATGGCCTGTATGGAAGTGTTAAGTGTCATTTTTGATGAGGAATAAAAGACTTGTAAAGCCCTTAGTATCCAGTCCGCTATAGCCTAGGAGAAACAAGTCCTCTGTGTACGCCATTTCACTGTCCAAGAATACAGCGAATACCGCGCTCCATCGACCAGACAGGTATCAATAAAGTATCTTTCTAAAACACACTGGGAGGTAGTGCTCTCGTTTCTCGAGGCGATCAGGAGTAAGTAAACAAGGGGCTAACATTTGTACCAGACGAGTACTAATTCAAGTATTCTAGTACCTATAGAAGCACTCTAGAGAGCAAATCATCCACACTAAGCGATAACCATGTGCTTGTACATACGAACATTCTACGTATACGGTTGCGGTTGTCAAGAAGATATGGGGAGCGATCTTGTCCGGGAATGCCGTAGGCGGCGGGGTATCGGGTGTTATCCGCAGTACATACCCCCTCGCTATATAGCTTTCCGCCACCGGTGTGACCAACGCCGCTAGTTTATGCCGAGTTGGTATCAATGAGGGCACATGGAATGATTCGACATTCATCTACTAGAATACAGCGATGCATTGCATATCAGTTAGAGGTTATAGGTGCTGATGTCCCTACAAAGTTGCTAGAACTCCCATTATACTATTACCTTATGTTACGACTCAGTTCGACGTGCACTTACGGTAGGTACTGGTAGGCGAGTGGCAACAACTCCGATTACATTAATGACTCGGAGGTAGCAATCATCCCAGTGTAGCTGTCTTACTAGCAGTTACGTTGGCTACTACCATCATGATGTTAGGTATACACGTTGGTTCCAATTCCTCTCTTACATGCTCGTGATACCCATCTTCCTGCGCTAGTCAATGTCAGTACGGTAGGTACTTGAAGTGTGATCTCCTTCGCTCTTAGGTATCTATTCGTCAGGCTCCCACAGGTCAGGCACCTTACCTTCGATGAGATAGTACCCCCACTGAGCTGCGGTGGCTAACTTAAACCCTAATGGCGACATGGCCTGTACGCAAGTGTCAAGTGTCATTCTTGAGGCATATAAGACTTGTGATACCCCTAGTATCATGTGCGCTAGTAAGAAGTCTTCTGTGTACGCCATTCCGAAGAACACAGCGAATACCGCACTCCATCGACCAGACAGTTATCAATAAGGTATTGTTCTAAAACATACTGCGAGGTAGTAATCTCGTTTCTCAGGACGAGTAAGAGTAAGTAACTGTTGCTGGAGTTCTTTCCTTTGTCCTCTTTGAGAGGTCAAACACCCTCACCACCAGCTCCTTGGGTCTTACAGCTCCTTAAAGCTCCTTTGTCCTCTTTGACAGGGCACCTGCAGACACCCTCACCACCAGCCAGGCAAGCCTATATAATGTAGGCTTGCCTTCCAGAGCCTCTCCGGCCATCGCTCTTTCCCTCAGAGCAGTAGCAACAGAGCTTATTCGTTAACAAGGGGCTAACATTCATGCCAGACGAGTACTAGTACTAGTATTCCAGTACCTATAGAAGCAACTTCGGAGAGCGAATCATCAATTCTTAATAATCGATAACAATGTGCTGGTACCGGCAAACACTGTACGTATACCGCTGCGGTTGTGAAGAAGACGCAGGGACCGATGTTGTCCGGGAATGCCCTAGGCAGGGTAACGGGTGGTATAGGCAATGGTACTGCCCTCGCTATATACCCATCCGCTACCGGTGTAACCGTATACATCATGACCGGTACTAGTTTATGCCGAGCTGGGATCAATGCGGGCGGGTAGTGACTGGATTTGACACTCATCTCTAGACTATACTCACTATAGCGATGCATTACATATCAGTTAGGGATTCCAGGTGTTGCTGTGCCTACAAAGTTGCTATAATAAAACTCCCATCGCAGTGTAATGTCACCTTATGTTATGTTGAGATTCAGGGGCCAGAGACCACAAGCCATTGTCACAGGGCGAAGCACAGTACATTGGGAGCAGGGTTTATCTTCTGCTTGTATCTACTTATTCAGGCTGCTCCCCAGGTCCTTGAGGTAACTACTCAAGGCTGAATACAATCATCTTCGTACCCATAACTGTGCATTTCAACATGTTAAGACTCAGTTCGAGGCACACGTACGGTAGGTACCAGTAAGCGGGTGGGAGCATCCTTGATCTGATGATAGCAACTGTCCCAGCGTAACTATCGTATTAGTTACCGAAGGTTGCTGATGTAGCTACATCGCCTCGCTTACACACTTGTAGTTACTATCATCCTGCGCTCATTATGGAATATCATTACACTCATGATATGTATGTAGAATGAAGTTATACACATCAGGTTAGCAACCTTTCGATCCTGGCCAACTCGCTTGAGATAACAGAGAATGTAGGGCGTAGTAGCACTTGGCTCCGCAAACCAGTTGGCGATTCCACCGCGTCTCGATGCCCCTGACCAGAAGCGAGCAGCTTGGACATGAAGCTCCTCGCCTGCTTGACCTCACGTTGCCAGAATTCCCTGGCTGACTCCAGCGTATCAGAAACGGTAACGACGCCTAGATCGGCTCTTGGATTTGCTGGGTACAGCTTCCCCCCTCGCAATGCCACAATCATCTCGTGACGGGGACTGGCTCCGTCAGCTCCCCACTCGGGCGCGCCAGCTGTGCAAGCTCGTATCAACGGGCGAAGCGCGCCAGGCGTCTTTCTGAATTCAGGAAAGGCCATGGCCTTCCCCGTTCTCCTCGATTCATATTCTGGATCAGTGTCTCGCAGCACTTCGTGGTCGATGCCGCTTCTGACGAAGGGCTGGCCCTCGAAGATGCACCAGAGCAGCTTTCCCAGCATAAATACCTGGGCCAATTCCAACAAGTCCTTACTCTCTTTCCCGGCTCTCCGTGCCCCCAAAACTGCCAGCCATGGCCCGCTGAACCCGCCCTCGGTGCTGTGATAGCGCTGGTTGGAAGATGTCTCTGGCTCCCAGCTAGAGTTGCCGTAGTACTCCCGCAGTTGGGTTAGGAATTCCAACCTAAGGTCTTCCGGTGTGTCTGCCGAACCGGCGAGGATTTCGAGATACTCGATAAACCTCACCTCGGGCGGGCTCCACGAGAACCACCCCCCTCGCTGTTCGAGGTCGATGAGGACAGCGTCCAGCAGCCCTGTCTCTGCGTCCTGCCGCAGCAAGATGTTGTCAGGCTTCAGATCTGGATAAAATCCCGATGGATGGCCATTGACATGGACAAGCGCCGCGACCACCTGCCTTGCCCAGCGAAACCTCTGCTCCATTGACGTTGAAGTATCGTAGTCATCCCTGAGCAGCCTCTCCCTGAGCGACCCGAGCGGATACCACTCCAACAAAAACCCACACACTCCCCTGCGGTTTCCAAACCTCCCCTTTTTTGTCACAATCCCAACCGGTCGGGGTATCAAGTTCGGATGCCGTTCCAAAACCAGCAGCATCTTCAACTCGTGATACATGTCCCTCTGCTGTCTCAGCAAGCTCTTGAACGCCAATTCTCTCCCACCGACCGTGACCAGCGCCACCGCCTCATGCACTTGACGCTTGAACTCGAGCCTCTCCCACTCCACGGCGCCCAACTCTAAGCCTTCCCACACGGTGTCGTCCACCTCCCCTGCCCATAGCTCCCGCAACTTCTCTATCGACAACATGTCCTGCTCAACCGCATAATCGGGGACAACCTGCACCTGCGCCTCGCCATGGTAGAAGTCGACTTGCAGAAATGACCCATACGGCAGCGCCCACCACAGCTCCTCAACCGCATTCAAGTTACCCTTCCCCTTACCATCACCTCTCTTACCATGACCTATACCTTGACCCCTGCCACCGGACCCATTCCCATTCCCATTCCCATTCCCATACCCACCCCCGTTTCCCCCGTGACTGTTGCTATTGATATTAATCCCATCAACCCACCCCTGCAGAACACTCACGAGCCACCTCCCAACCTCGGTCCGGGCCACCCTCCTCCCCCTAGTAGTAGCAGAAGCAGAGGAGCACGAAACGGCCTTTTCTGGCCGTACCACTTCCCTCAACCTTGCCGGCCAGGCCTCGGGCGGGGGCACATACACATCGATGCGGAGCGGGGGGCGGTCCAGGGCGAAGTTGGGGATGGCGAAGAAACGGGTGCTTGTGGAGTCGACGCCGTCGATGCGGAAGCTGGCTGCTTCGGGTAATGGTAATGAGAGGGTGTTGGGGCGTGTGGCTGGGTTCTGGTGGGAGGAGGACCATTCTTGTTGCTTTGCATGTTCTTGTTCTTGTTCTTGTTCTTGTTCTTGTTCTTGTTCTTGTTCTTGTTCTTGTCGAGTCTGGCGCCGCTCTTTGGGTGAGGTTGGCTCAGGCTGGGCTTTTCGGGTCGGGATTAAGTTTGGTTTAGCAGCCCGTGGTGGTGGTGAGTGTGGTAAGGGTTGAGGTGATGTTGCCGTTGCCGCTGCGGGTGCTGTTGGGGAGGTGCACTTGAAAGCGGCCACCGGTGAGAGGATGGAGGTGAAGATTTCCGACGTGAGGTCCATGGCTCAAAGATTTGATTGCTTCAGGAAGTTGAGGTTCCTTCTTCGCGCAGTACAGGAGGGGATGAGTACGTCGCCCGTAAGTCCAAGTTGTAAGCGGGCCTGGCGTGAGGGATTATAACTTGAACGCTGAAAGTGAGGCCAGCTGGTAAATGACTTCCCATAAAGCCACTTCGTATACTATCCTGGTGATGACCGAATTCTATCAGGTCGAAACCCGGCTGTTCGGCACCCAAGTTCTGGCTTCAATGAGCTGTCAGTCCGACTCAAAGCCCTAGAAAAGCCAGCGGAACCAAGTCCTCACAACAAAGCAGTCGAGGCTGTCATCCTTGTCGGCCCATCAATGTCTGTTGTAGTGTAGAAGCACAAGGACTCGAACAGAACCATCCAATGCACCCGGGGATCTGCACCCGGGGGTCTGCACTCAGTCTGCACTCTGCAGTTGTGAGTGGAAATCCGGAATCCGCTGCAGTCTGCACGTCGCTCTGTAGTGTTCTTAGTCTTCTGCACGTCTGTCGATCCCAACTCCTTTCGGCATTTTCAAACGGGACCCAACGGACCCGCCCCCTCTAGTCGCTTCGTACTTCCCCCAAAGAAAGGGTCCATCCTGCAGTGGTCCAAATTCTGCATCGCCAAATCCACCCAAAGCCGACCGTGGCTGGCAAATCACGCCAGATCCAAACCCTCCAGGGAACGCCGATCTAGCCCTACGGAGGGTCACTAGATGCAGCCACATCTGCTGCACGTAGGGTATCACAGGGGTTGGCCGATGGCGGCGGGCCCCATCCCCCAATTCCGCGGTTGAGAGCAGCATAGCACTTCCTCGGCGGCCATGCGTTGATCATCCCTCATATGCTTGGTGGCTTGAACACTTTCAAGCTAGATTTAAGTCTCGAAGCAGACAGACTGTGGGCGTAAGCCAAGTTGGGTATCCACGATTTAGCTACTAAGCGCTAGACTCCAATATTTCAGTATTAGTAAACATCTCATCACCACACCCTGTGCTGTAGGCCGGGGCTGTAGGCGTGAAGGGGGTCATCACACAACACAAGACTGTCAAACCAAAGCAAAACCATAGCGCCCGCTGCTTTTCCAAAGCGCAATCCCCCACCTCTCAGGAAAACACCAGTACTCCGCGACGATACCAAACACCCCACCCTCATCACCAGTCGACCACTAAGAAGTAAGCCTCTCGCTCAGCCGGAACTGCACCCTCGGCATCTCCATAATGTTCCACCGCTCACCCAGCTCATTGTCGTCGTAAATCCTCGAGTTGCCCTGCTGCAGCGCCCGTGGGAGCTTCCACGCCAATTGCTCATTCTTCAGCCACATGCGCACCAGGTAGCGCGGGGAGTCCGGGCAGTCAACAAATCCCTCACGCGAGTGGAGAACGCCGTGGTTGTTGATGTACAGGAGGTCGCCGGGTTGGGCGTCGACAGAGATCTGGTTGCGCTTGGCAATTTCCTCGAGGATGTTCAGCGCCCGCCGCTGCTCCTGCGAGAGGCTTCCCAGGCCATCTGGCCGCTGGACACCGTCTAGTCCAAGAAGGGGCTCGCGTGCAAAATTCATCATGATGCGCCCGTCCTGGTAGAACAGGAGCGGCCGCGTGCTGCACTCAAAGAATTTGCCGCGGCTGCTGCGGTGTTAGAATATCGGAACTGACGTTGTGACCTTCCGGAAGGCTGTGGAACACACCTGTCAAAAGACCAGATTGGCTGCGCAAGCAGCTCGCGGAATTCGGGGTGTGTTCTCATGAGTTCGTTGTACACTGTCCAGGCAGAAACGAGTAAGCTTGCTCCGCCGCTCGCGGCGTTGTTACGGGTTTGCAAGGCGAGGATATCACAGAATGTGTCGGTGTGAAATGTCTGGGGTAATCAGCGCTGGAGCCTTGTGTCTTGCGGCGAGCTTGACTTACCGAAGCCCTAGAGGAATACCGGGTTGGCCGGTCTTGCTGAGGTGTTTTGGACAGCTTTGCATCACGAATATGCACTGCGGACGGTTAGAAAACATTGCCGCAGCAAGTACATTACAGGGTCACATACTAAGCATATTCCCGTCCTCGTCTTGCCGTCCCCGTTTGGGTGCAATATAGCTGGAGATGCCCAGGAAGATGAGGACGTTCTCCTCGGGAGAGAAGTCCTGCGGGCTTAAACCCCGAACTACAGCAAAACCTTTGCCCTGGTGGATATCGACTGCAACTTGCACGAGCTTCGGGCCAAGAGTTGGCAAAGGGAAGGTTTCAGGTGACACAGCATCGCCGTATAAGCCGAGGTCTTGCAACGTCAGCGCATCAGCCCTCTCTTAGGTCCATGCTGATGGTGCCCTACCGTTAAAGTGTTCCAGAGCAGACTTGACCTCTGATACTTCCTGCTCGCTTAGTACCAGGGTGTAGTCCTTCTCTGAGCCAAAGGATTCCGGACCCCAGGCGAGTTCCCCTCTCACTTCCGCTGGCCAGTCGCCTGAGACGGGCAGATAGTGGAAGGTGCAGCCCGTCTTCAACTTGAGGCCCCCCCAGGTCTGCTGCTGTGCTAAGAGGACTGTTTCGGCACCCATCATGTAAAATATATCGTGAGCGCGGACTTGCTCCTCTCTGATGGTGGTTCGTCTTGCAACCGGTTCTTGCTGCCGTAGAAAGATTCTGGCGGTGTCCCATGGACAAAGGTTGCGAGTCGGGTAGGCGAGTGGTATTCGGAAGCGATGATGGTTAAATATCCAAGACAAACATAACAATTTGTCTGTCTCATAGAGATACACGCATTGAGCCCTGAGACGTGGCAGTAAGTCGTGCTGCACAAGTCAAGCCCTCCGATCAGTCCGATGCGGCTCAAGATGCCGAGTGGCGCCAAAGGGTCCTCCGGGTTGCGTTCGGTTTAGAGGGGTCTCCTGCACCGTGAACCGGAGAATCACCAATAAGCCTTTCCGGATTTAGGAGGGTACCCCATCATGGGGTGAACGCGCTGCAGGGTGATAAGTGCAGTGGAGCCTATTGGCGGGTGCCGTATTTCCTGTACTAATTCGCCAGCGGCTGGAGTCCAGACCACCGAAGGCAAAGTGAGGGGCTACCGTTCAGCTCAAGTGTGGGGTGGACGCCACCGGGTCGAGATGAGCGACTTTGAAGCTGAGTAAAAAGCAGAAGTCAGGCCACATTGTCGGAGACTGTCTCAGCAGGTGGAGCGTGCTCTAGTGTGTCGCGAGGCGTCCAGTCGGGATCGAAGAGTTGGCTAGTATACCACCATTTCTCGTGATAAAGGTCGCTGTGGTTCACTTTGGCAAAAGCTGGAGCTTTCTTTTGTCAGGGTCTAGACCATGCCAAGGGTGGGAAGGAGGAACCTTACCTTTTTTGACCACAACATCGCGGCACTGCGACATGAAAATGGTCTGTTCCACATCCAGCCGGGCCATGCGGCGGACCCTTGGTGCATTCCAGTCGAAGCCCGGCGTGAATAACTGCTGCCCCTTGTAGCAGTAGTGGAAGTGCGCCAATATTGTTTTGGCTCCCGAATTCGTAGCCCGGACTAGAGGCATATCCAAGTACTGGATCTGCTTTTGCTTATTAGCTCGGTCCCCTTGTCGACACCGGCAGTTTTCGGAGGAGTGGACAACCTACCGCAGCCCTTCTTCTTGCCGCAAACTCTCGTTGGAATTGCATCTGCATCTCGTAGTTTTGCAAGAGGATGAAAGATGATAGAAAGGTTGCAAACCAGTCCTTGGGGCTGTGAACGTTGAATGTGCTTTGGAGGTCCCGAAGCACGTCTTTCCGCAGCGGACTGAGAATGCGATGGATGATGATGGAGGCTAATTGGTAGTCGAGATACGGCGGCAGGGAGTCGAGGTCTTGGTAGAACGGATCCTGGGGATTAGTGGCTCGGATTTCGTTGTCGGCCCAACCAGTCTCTGTCCAGCACCTCCATTTGGATTCAATAAAGCGACAAGCAACCCAGAGGCGAAGTGTCTTCTTCAGCATCTCGTTCTGTCCAAATCCGTTAGCCGGAAAGATGCACATGTATGGTGGGGCGGATGATGTTGAAACTTGCCGGAAGTGGAAACACGGATGCTCGGTAGGCTGCTTGGAAGATATTCCATACGAGTTCATCCGTGTCATCTAGATATGCCCGCATGTACTGCGTGATACCGTGGTCTATGTACTCGGTGATGGCCTCGACAACAGCGTCGGGATCGGCAATGGCGTAGGGAACGGCGTACATCGGCCGCCCCTTGAGATCGACGTCTCCAGAGTCTGCAGGCGGCACAAACCGTCTAAGCTCAACCTGAAAATGCATTGCCCCAACCTGCCCTAAGCACAGCATCTTTGAAGGACCTTCTACCCATTGCCGTTCCAAATGGAAGTCTCCGTAGTGTGGCCCGATCATTGGATGTGCCTTGTAAAAAGGCATGTAATCCAGGCCGGTTCGAAAAAGTATGCTGTCCGTCACCATGTACCGCAGACAGGGTAACCTGCTCATCCGGACGGTCCGCTGCTGGCACGTCAAACACGGGCCGCTAGGATTCGCCGGGTCTGGAATGCACTAAGCGGTAGTCAGCAAATTGTTCAATGCGGAGGGTTGCAGGCGCTGACAACTCACCCTATTTCTCTGCATCCTGCACCGGACACAGGCGTGCAGCTGCCGGGTCAGGTGGGTGTCGGTCTTCTTGGACCCCTCGTAAGGACTTCGCTTCTTCTTGACCCTGTACGAGGAGTTCTCTGACGCTGACTGGCTAGTCGATTTTGAGGATCTTGGAACAATTACGTGGTAACGCTTGTCTTTTGAGGCCGTGGAAGGAGAAGCTGATGTGTGAAAGGCAAGAGATTCAGGCGGCGAAACCAGGGCCCAGTCTGTGGAGGCATCGTCGAGGCCATCTCCCTGGCTTTCTTCCTGAGCAGTCTGACCGCTTACTGAGCTGGAATCGATTTGCATCGCTGAGGCCGGAATGTAGGAACTAGCTGCGTCTGCAGCCGGGAGGTTGCTCTCATCCAACCCAAGCGTATCTCCCAAGGAGTCATCGAAGCCAAATAAGGCGGCATCGCAGTCATACCACGGGGAGTGGGGATTTAGGAGGATAACGTCGGTGCCCGAGCGCTGCGCTGGCTGGCGATGTGATGGACGAGCGGGATCAGTTCCTGCACTGCCTGGCTGAGGCAGCTCGAAATCCAAGAGATCGAAGTCTCCATCCTGAATCGTCGGTGAGCGGACGGGCGAGGCCTCGGCGTCAACGGAGAGCGATGGCCGCTGTTGGCTTATACGATGCTGGGGCTGTTGGCGTGGGCTTTCTGCAGGCATTGTTTTGTGGGTGCGCTCGCGGCTTTGCTGGAGCAACTCATCGACGCTGAGATTCAGGAGTCCGGCAACGCGCTGGATGTCTTCCAGCTCTTTCCTCGAGAACTCCATGGTTGGGTTAGCAAGCGTATGAGAGGGAACGGATGGACTGGGAGAAGCAACGCCTGGCGTGACAGTGGGCTTGATATCATGATGCGGCTCTGGATATTGTGGGTTCCAGGGTGCATCCCCAAAAGAAGGGTCCTCGAGGGGAACGTGGTGTAATGTAAATTTGGGCCAATCATGGCTGACATTGATCGGATGTTGCCAATGAAACCGATCAATCAACGAGCCAACGGCGTTGCGACGGCAAACCGGTGCGAGTGCGCTAAACCGGCCATCGCTGGGAGCCACCAGAGCACCGTGCAGATGCCCGGAGCAAGCACAGCCAATTGTGTGGCACATCCCAGGCCGCCTGCTGGATCCCGAACGACGCTGTGATCAGTCCCAAAGAGCCTGATGTTGGCAGTAGTGGTAAGAGGGCCCAAAGCAACCGATGTGCATAGGGTCGTGGGCCTGCGTGGCGGCTCTTCAGGGCTTGCTCAGGGGGCTATTTCTGCGGCTGAGGAGCCGAAGACACCCCGATGTTCAGGAAGCAGGTTTCTGCTTTCAGCGTGGCGGGTGGCGACCTGAGAGCTGAACAAGGATCCTTGGTTTTGCTTCCGGATGCACCAGCACTTAAACAGCCCCCGTCAGCTAACACGGTCCGGGAAGAATGTCCCGGGAGTCCTACCTAGTCTCCTTCCAGCTTCCTATGCATTAGATACAATCATGTATCTGATTCAGTCCTCAAGTTCCGTAATGCTCGTCTTGGCGATGGAGTGCCAGCGCGGTCCTTGGCCGGCTCAAACTGAGATGACACCCAGTAATCGGCTAACATCAGTTTTCAAGAAGCTTGAGAACATGCCCGCCCATTGAGGGGCACCGTCAGGTCTAAAGCCCGGAAAACGATCCAATATCAATCCAATTGGAGGTTGTGCACTGCTAACAGCATGACGGGGCGCCCAGGCGTAATGCCGGATGCTCATGGTTTGAAGTCTGCAGTTATGTACGAGACGGGATTTGACATTCAACCTTCGTGCCCGGTTCGTGGAACGAGATGCAGTGGATTGGAACAGTGTAGAACGGACAAGTTGAGCGTGAGGGTACGGGAATCTGCGCAAAACTCGATGAGATCAGCCGGCGCTCAAATTCTGGAAGGAGAAGCGCTCTCGGCCTCTCCCCGCTACTGAAGTCGCGCAATTGCTGCCAGGTGAGGTGTATGGTATCGTACCCAAGTTAAGCCCTGAGCGGATTGCCACTTCGAGGTTTCCGTCGACAACTGAAATACACCTGGGTTCAGTCAGCCCTAAAAAGGAAATAGAAGGCTCAATGATGGGATCTTTCAACAGACAGGGCCATGGTCCTTGTCGACCACTTCGTGAGGTGCAGCTCACTAACCTCCAGGCTCCCCGTGTCACCGAGATGTTGAGAATGAGTTGCGCGACCGGGCAGAACACTGTATGCTTAGTGATTTAGTCGGTCTCAGTGCCTATCGTTCCAACCTCTCATGGCTCAATTTACAGGCCTGAGGACGCGTCAATTTTGAGGGTCATGCTGCTGCGTTGCGCGCCATGGTCCACAGCTTATGACGGGAGTGGTTGGACGCAGAAGATAAGCAGCAGTCACAGTAGGGAATTACCTTAATAAGCCGCAGGCTGCCACAAGGGCGCACCTCCCGCGTGACTGGGCTGCTTGGTAGGGCGGAATAGGGGTCGATTGGTACCTGGCCGTCCTCGTACGTTTCCTGCTTTCTTCCTTGATTTTGGTCTCGTCTGACCCTGTCCATCGCTCGTTAGGTTCAGATCGGATAGATTTGGGCCAATAAGAATCTGGTGAAACAGCGACCCCTTCGCGAAAAAGCCACACCGCTCAGGTGGATAAAACCAGCGAATGGCGGGCTGTGCCTTCCCAGATGCTTGGCAGTCTACGTCATAGTTGTGGTTGAAAGGCCCGACAGGCCCGACCCACTTGCCGTATGCAACAGCTTCCGGGGAGCAAATCTCGGCGTTTGCTGCCCTCGCTGCCCTCTCTGCCCTATTACTACCATCCATAACGGCAAGGGCGAGCGGTGCCCCGTTCGAAGCGCCTGCCTCTTCCGTTGTATTGCGCCTACCGTAACCGGTTACAGACTCGCGGCGGGAGGGATTCTTGGTGTCAGCTAAACAACATTGAGGTGGCATCCAACGGGGACACCCGTGACGGCTCGGAATGTTAAGATAATGAACTCGGCCTGACCATAGAAGTAGGACCGTAGGTTATGTTGGAGTGGATGAATACTCAAAATAGGTACTTGTACCTGAGCAACGTCAATCTCATGAGTCAAGACTCAAAAGCCGAGATCCCAATTTCTCTTTCGTTCCCCTTGAAGCCTGAGGCCTGAGCTACGTTACCGAGGTTACTAAGATACTACCGGCTCCAGTGAATCCCCGAGAGATTGCACGAATCCACCGGGGGCTGCTGGTAGCGGCTGCCGTGCTTGCTAGGTAGTACCAGGTCACCTTTACGATACGGCTCTACGCATGCTTGATCGTACCGTAGTATACATGTCAAGCAAAAGCCATGGTCTTTCCCAGGCCCGGACCCTCCTAACAACAGAAAGAGCCTTGGACCTGACTTCGGCAGACACCCTTCATGAACCAACTGACGGAAGACATCCTTAGGTTCCAGACAACCCATACGAAAGTCCGCAAAGCCTCCATTACCTTATACGCCGAGAACTTGATTGGGCATTCACCATCAGCCTTTGAAAAGCATTTCCATCATTCCATTGTATTTCATCGGTTTCATATCCCGCGATGGCGACCTCGGAACACGTGCGGCAACCCTCGATCCTCGAGGACTACCATGTCGGCCAAGTCATGTCTCTGCGCGTACTCCCCAACAAAGACTTCAACATCCGTGTGCGCATCCGGAAGCTCCCAATTTCACAAACATTCTCCTGCGGAATGGTCGTCAGCGTTGTGCATGAAAACGAACCCGAAACCACCGCCTTCCTGAAGCTGTTCGATCGGAGATTTGCGCACATGCTCCGATATAACCTTTCAATCCCTCCCTGGACCAAAGTCCGAGAAGAGTCGTACATGGGTCGAATCCAATCTAGCGCATTGGATCGGTTTCTGCACCCTACCGACGTTGGCCACATCGAGAATCATGGGGACTACGACCCCGCCGAGAGCGAAATCCTGCTTGCTGAGGAGCTCCTCAAGATGTACAAGCGTGAGGTCTCGGCGTACCATGCGTTGCAGGACTGCTAGGGTCGCATCCTGCCTCGCCTCCTCGCTGAAGTGGACGTTGACCTTAACCCTCCCGACGCTGACGGCGATCACGACATGTTCCATGTCAAAGGGATCCTGCTCGAGTACATCGAGGGCTTCCCCTTGTCCGAGATGCGGCAACATGCCACCGAGTTGGAGTGGCTTGAGATTGTCCAGAAAGCGAATGGAATCATCCAAACTATGGGCGGCCACGACGTCCTGCACGGAGACCCGCGCTCGCAGAATTTCATTGTCTCAAGAATGGAGCGTGAGGATGGCACCAAAGAGTTGCGGGTTTTTGTAATCGATTTCTCTTGCAGCAGAACCAGATGCCCAACCGAATCTGATGATGACTGGAAAAACACAGTATCGACCAAGGGACAGATAATTTGGACTCAAGGGGGTAATTAGGCCAACCAGAGGGCATGAATCTAGCAAACGGCGAATTTCTTTGACTCCGACGAGCGACTGCAGGTGGGATGGGCCATGAATCATTCAGTTGGATCAGGGTTTCGAGCATACGTACTGCCTACAGACATAGCGAATAATGATCAGCGGTTGGAATTATTGTCTAGGTCGACACGATCCATCTCTGATGGCAACATCACGGTGAAGATGCTCTTAGTAGGTAGTCAACTGGGCACCCCAGGTCTCGAACAACCGGTAGCAAGCAGGGATAGCTTCAAGTTGCTCTTCAAACGTTACATCCCGTCCCTATGCTGATGCCTCAGACTCCTACCCCGGAACTGTTCTCACTACCTATTTAGGGCCAGACCCGTGTTCATGTATAAGCATACGCGCCTTCCTTTGGGTCGGTGGTCGAAACCACAACCAACTTGACCTTCTCGCACTCGCCCCGGTTGGTGTTATTGCCGATAGGGGCGAAAATACTGAAGAGCTGCCCCAAACCTGGCTCCTTGCACGCAAGCCAGTGACTCGATCCGCTAAACGAGAAGTATCCTTCTTGGTAGACTAAACAGGGTCAGCTCCGTCACAAGTGAGTCCAAAACACTGCCATAGGTTCGAGTCATGCATACTTGTGACATTCTTGCCGGCGTGTTCTCTCCCGCTGCCACCGGCTTTACCTGCCGCTGTGGTCTTGAGCTTGCCCGTATCGGGTTCGACGAACCAGGCTTGACCGCCCGGAACATCGACCGACTACAGCCCTGGTTTCAATATACCGTCCGTTTCTAGCACGCACACTCTGGTCTCAGTCTCGACAGGTAACTTACCATGTATCCCGACGGCAACAGCACAGTCTCGTTATGGTACGACTCACAGACGTACATCGGCGGCGCGTTGTAGCAGTAGACGCATGTGTGTGCATCCGCACCAGTCTGGAACTGCAAATTGCACACTTTGACGGGTTTGGAATTGAGGGCCGAGTTTGAGCTGTGTACCTCGAGCTTGAAGGGCGTGCTGCCGGCGTTTGCGGTTGGGAGCAGGCTCAGCTGGCCCTCCTCGCTGCATTGGTACATGTCTGGGCTATAGCAGGCGCCGCCGCAGGGCAGGGTGGGATGCCCGTCGAGGTTGGGGCAGAGAGCGTGGTCGTCATAGCATCGGTAGTCGGATGGGTAATAGGGAACGCTGCCGCAGGTCTGAATCTGTTCCAACTGACCTGCCGCGGGCCACGCTGAGCAGAGGAGCAATGGGAGGAGTACCATTGTCAGAGGACGGGTTCTGTGGGACCTCAGTCGCTGTGGGATATTTTAGAGCGCCATGTTGAGGTCAACATCAGCGGCTAGACTTTGAGGAATTTATGTTGGGGCAACGTCAACAGCATTGATTGCTTATCTGTTCTAGGCAGAAAGGGCAGGGGGTGCGTAAGGTAACTGGTTGTTGGATCCGGCGGCCTTCAGTGTAACCTACTACGGTATATATCGTCATAGTATTGTGCACGTACGCTACCTATATTAGGTTGAAACTTGAAGGTGCGTGTGTCAACGATGTGTGCGACATGACATGTGGCATCGGCTGCATAACTGATGGCACACATGGAAATATTTAGCATGGATGATTCCGGCAGCCGAGACATCCAAGTCGAAGTGACGGGAGTTAAGTTTGTTTGGCCTACTTGTATACCAAACTAGCGCTTGAATCGAGCTTGTATGTACGGAGCTTGCCCTGGTCCTGGGATCTCACCATCATATGATCCGATATATCATATCGCCTGATCGGGAGTCGTATCGACGTTGTGACATTTCATTCAAATTCTCCTCATGAATGCCTCGTATAAGCAGGCACAACTACTGGACGTCGCTGCCATTGGCCAGGGCGACGCCGGGATGCTACCTACCACATGCAAGTTAAGGTGCCGGTGCGGCACGCGGTTTAACTGCTAGGCGGCGGCCCGGAGGCCAGTAGGCTGGGATAGTAAGCCAGATGATAGCTGGTTTAAATACTATCTAGGCCGCTGTCTAACCCAATGCACTCAGGGGCCTTGATAATGTCATCTCATTCTCATCCCCCCCCGTCCACCGCCTAGTCCCTCGGAACGTTCCATCTTTACTCTTCGACTTCATAAAAGCCTTCACCTCCTCCGAGGTCCGTCTCCAACGACAACCTTGCAATCGCCTGCTGCCCAAGCTGCGCAGCGACATGAAGCGGCCTCCGCCCATCGTCCACCGAAGCGCATCGATATCGACCACCCCGGGAGGACAGCGCCAACAGCTGCTGAACAATGTCTTCGTACCCCTGTTCGCACACAGTGAACCGAGGCGTCTATCCGAGGGAGTCCCTGGGATCGTGGTTCATTCACCCATTGAGAGCAACAGGCTTGCAGTCTCAGAATGGGTGGCCATGCCCGACTGGGCCAATCACGCCCATTGGATTATACGATCTGATTATAGGGTTTGTCGTCTCAACTTGCCGGCTCAGCTGAGGCACCTGCCCGATTCTCGCCGGCCCATGGAGTCGGCGTGCACCAAAAGGTTGGTTGCTCCCTCCTGCAATCGCTCGCCGGTCAACGAGAATCCATCGCACTTGGAAGCTCATATCTCGCAACTTGTTGGTAAGGGTAAGCCGGAACCTCGCTCGGGGCAAGATATGCTGGCGGGTTGGATTTGTAAGGCTCATGGATGGCCGAGAAATCGTGACATGGGTCTTGATGAACTGTGGTGGTGTCGCTAGGGACTTGATCAGAGCGTCGCCTTTTTCGGATCAACAGCCAGGTTGCTACCGCCCTGACTGTCAACCCAAGCCCACCCACGGATACCCCGACGGCAACACCTATGGTAGTGCCGTTACTGGAAGGAGCAGCTGATGAGTTGGGGGATACTGTTGCTAGCTAAGTGTTTCCAGGGGAAGTTGACACGCCGGTCGAGGTGCTCGTCGTGACTTGTGCTAGCTCTGTGGTCCCAGGGGAAGTTGACACTCCCGACGTGCTTGTCGTGACTTGGGACGAGGTCGAGGTAGAACTTGTGGACGCAGCAGCCCCTATCGTAGTCAAGATGGAAGGCTTCACTAATCGCAAGAGCGCAGTCAGTACCAACCAGCGCAAGGCTCTTGAAGAGATGGCCCAAACGGACGAGCAACGTACCTAGAAAGTCGATCAGGTTGAAGCCGGCGGTACAGTTCTCCACGCCTAATCCTCTGCTTATGCAGTAGAAGACAATGTCGGAACGGGGGCATGGAGCCACGCCGTTGCCTCCACCTGTATGGTCTCGCTCGGGATCGACGCAAACATTCGGACAGTTGGAACTCCTCCAGCTCTTATCCGTACAGCTGCCTCGGACAAATTGTGATGCCCCGGGCTTCTGGAACTCGTCCCGGTTGCCTGACAGAGGAAGAAGGAAGACGAGTGGCCGATGCACGCGTAACCGGTGCCGCAACATGAAGATTGCGTGGTCGAGTCGGTACACGGAGTGTCCTGTGCAACCGAGCCGTCGGGATAGAAGCATGCCGCAAAAGCTGGCGAGACTAGGAGCGCGAGTTGGACGAGGATGGCAAGCATATTAGCCAGTTCGAAGACCTCGGCTCACTGGGAGGAGCAAAAAAAGCTGGGATAAAGAGTCAAGGTGCAGGTGCCTCCATTGCGCCTGCCGTGTGCAGTGTGCGCCCTACATGTATTATATCAGCTGCGTCCCATCATGCTGGGCGAACCGCCCTGTTGTTACCCTACTCTTCAGCCCTATAGAAGGGTGTTGATGGTCTTGCCGTAGCCGCCCACCGAGTGCCAACACCAAAATGCCAACACCGGGCCGAAACGCGATGGCTGCTCGGGGGTGTTTCCATTCACCAATCGCGACAGTGGAATAAACGCCGCACCGCTATTCATGTAGATTTCCCTGCTGCAACCACAGTGCGAGTACATTTGGCGGCTCGCTAATCGCGCTTGCTCGAATCAGTTTTATCCAGGTCTTGCGAGCTGGAAATTGTCCCGACAGTGTGGCGCTCACGTCGCGTTGCATCAACTTCTCATTCTCATTCTCATCAAATTCACCATCAGGGGTTGTCACGTTCAACATTATTACACTCTCGGGCATCGCCGGCGGAACGCCCTCCAGCAGCGATGAGTGCAAAAACCGCGAGTGTCAAAGTCATGAGGACGTTTTCCAATCGCCGCAGGACCTTCCTTTGCCTCCTGATTCTCCCTCTTATCTGCATATTCCTCATCGTTTCCTCAAATTTTGATGCCTTAAGCCTCCTTCCTTACACTCAGCCTAGGCCGCCGCCGCCCACCAGCGGCGGCACAAGCGGCAACACAGACGACGACGACGACCCAGATTTCCTCTGGAGGAAAATGCGCGTTCGTTACCCTGTGCAGTCCATGTCACCACTGCCGAGCGGTAAGGCCGTTCCGCTGCCCAAGATCCAGGCAGCCTTCGACAAGGAGTCGTCAGACGAGGCACATGCCCGACTAGCCAAGCGAGACGCAGTCAAGAAGACGTTTGTGCGGTGCTGGGAATCGTACAAGACGCATGCGTGGATGAGCGACGAGTTGGCCCCCATCAGCGGCAGTCCCCGGAATCCCTTCGGTGGATGGGCCGCTACCCTGGTCGACAGCCTTGACACACTGTGGATTATGGGGCTGCGACATGATTTCGAGATTGCTGTCGCTGCGGCGGCGAACATCAGTTTCGAGACAGTAACGACAGATGAGATCAATGTCTTCGAGACCAACATCCGGTACCTGGGGGGATTTTTATCCGCCTACGATCTCAGTGGTGATAAGCGCCTACTCCGCAAGGCCAAGGAGGCGGGCGATATGCTGTACGCTGCCTTCGACACTCCCAACAGAATGCCAATAACGCGTTGGAGATTACGCGAGTTGGCTGGGGCTCAGGCTCAGGGCGGGAAGGAGCAAGTCGCGCACGACAACGTCCTCCTCGCGGAGATGGGGTCCTTCACCATGGAATTTACGAGACTATCTATCATTACCGGTGATCCCAAGTGGTTCGATGCTGTAAACAGAATCACCGCCATCCTTGAGTCACAACAGGACTCCACCGCACTTCCAGGAATGTGGCCTCTCGTTGTCAATGCCAGAGACCAGGTCTTCAACCGAGGCGGCGCATTTACTCTGGGCGCCATGGCGGACTCGACATACGAGTATCTCCCCAAAACCTACGCTCTCTTGGGAGGCCGCATGCCCGTCTATAGGACAATGTACCAAAAATCCATGGCAACGGCAATGCAGCATAATTTCTACCGGCCCATGATTCCCGACGGGCTGGACATCCTGATCTCGGCCATGGTCAACGTCCGAACGGCCGACAATGGAAAGACCAAACCCGAGCTTGATCCAGAGGGACAGCATTTGGTTTGTTTTGCCGGGGGCATGCTTGCCATTGGAGCAAAACTCTTCAAACTCCCCGAACACCTCGAAAAAGCGCAGAAGCTGGTCGATGGGTGCATCTGGACATACCAGGCCCTCCCCCTTGGGATTATGCCAGAGAGTTTCCACATGATTCCCTGTCCATCAATCAACGACTCGTGCCCCTGGGACGAGACGGTCTGGAAGAAGGAGGTTCTTCGCAGGCATGGAATGGACGCAGGGGATATTAGCCAGGCCGACACGGTCATTGGGCAAAAACGACTGCCGAAAGGCTTCGCCAGGATTGGGGATACGCGCTATATCCTGCGGCCCGAGGCCATTGAGAGCGTGTTTGTCTTGTACCGAACAACGGGGCAGAAGTATTTACTCGAGGCCGCCTGGGCCATGTGGGAGGCGATCGAGAAGAACACTCGAACGACATTGGCAAATGCGGCGCTCACCGACATCACCGGAACTGATGGCAGCCTCCCCCCTAAGAGTGATTCCATGGAGAGTTTCTGGATGGGGGAAACCCTGAAGTATTTTTATCTGATCTTCAGCAAGCCTGACCTGATCAGTCTGGACGAGTATGTCTTCAATACAGAAGCTCATCCGTTCAGGATACCGGCCCCATAAGAAGCTGCGTGAGGTGGATTGGCTGATGCTGTCTGGTACGGCAATGCACAAAGGGATGCATAACATATGTTTATACTTATCGGTGGACTTTTGGCGTTGTTGGATAGAGATGAGATATATAACCATGAACATAGCCAAGGCACAGGTGCAGGAGCACCAGAGGAAATGCGGCGGGGGTAACTTATGGGGGTGCTGAAGGGCGAGAGTGAGAGAATGGAAGGGACAAACGCTAATAAACACCACAGGAGGATACAGACCGCTAAAGGGCTGGAAAGTTACTCCTGAATCATGACAAGGCCTGGGGTAATTATAAGGAGTATTCCGTACTTCGAGGAGCAGAAGTGCCGAGCATCCCCAGTCATCGGCTCACCTTACCCACTTCGTCTGTTGAGCTCCAGAGCTAGTATGAACAATACCTACCTACCTTACCCATGAGCCTCCGACTCGGAGTTTGGGGCGAGATTGGCTTCGCCGCATTAGGCACTACCTTACTAGGCCAAGGCTGGCAGGGCTGTGCCTCGTAAATCGAGCCAAGCCCTCGGGATTTGGGGTCATGAGTGAGTATACGAACCACAAACCACCAGCTTGCTCAAATGGGATTAGCATGTTGTCTGCCAACGTAAAGTACCTAATGTTAGGCCCAGAAAATTCACCACAAGTCAAAAAATGGATTTTCTCGTGTCCCATAACCAGGGCTACCCAGGTTCATTGTCCAACATGAAGTCATGCGCGATGCATCATGTTGCCGCTATTGAATGTGGCTGGACGTGGAATTGGCAAGTCCTCGAATTTGATCATGGATAGTTTACGGGTTCCCGAGGCAGGAGCGAATATAAGAGTATGCCCCAAGGAAGTTACGGTGCATACAGTGGTGCAACACATCTGGTCCTCACCTTCCGAATATTTGCAGGAGTAGCATCTCGGAATCTCCATCACATTCGCTGGGGAATCCAACCATCAAGATGCGGAAAGTGCAGGCGTTTGTCTGCAATGTCCTAGGCGTCCTCTCGTTATGGACTGGCATGAGCCATGCCCAGGAGCAACAACAACCGAGAATCGCCTTGAAACTAAACCCAGCGGCCCATGAGAAGCAACAGGCCGATTCCAGCTTCATAACAACATTGATCCGAAGGGCACAATCTCAGGGGTTTGCATCTCAGCCGATCAGCACAACCAACATCTCAATCGACCCCCTGATTAGTCCCCAAACCAGTGCCAACCTTGCTGCGAGGAGTCAGGTAGCAAAGAGACAGGACCCCGGTTTCACAGCCCCGGATTTCAGCTTGTGGTATCAAGTTCAGGTCGTGTCGGCGACTGGAAACCAAGCACGACATGTCGATGCCACTGCTGCCGAGTCAAAACTAGCCTTGCCGAGCGACATTTTGGAGCTTATCCACAAGCTTCATGAACTCCCTGAGGTGGAAAGCGTCCATGCTCTCCATTCAGGACCCCCTCCTGCCATCAACCCCAGCGATGACCCCCGGAGCACAAACCAGGGCTATCTTGACCCAGCACCAAAAGGAATTGATGCTCGCTATGCTTGGGGATTTCCTGGCGGAGATGGAGCCGGCGTGACCATTGTGGATATGGAACAGGGCTGGAATCTGAATCATGAAGACCTGGTAAGCCCGCTTGTTCCATCTTTGAAAATTGTATGCATGGGAGGTTTGTGTGCTTGTGCTGAGACGGAAACCGCGCACAGGCTGCCGCCAACATCACCCTGATATCCGGGAGAAACGCTGAGTGGTTCGGGCACGGAACATCGGTGCTGGGCGAGATGTTCATGGTTGATAACCAGCTTGGTGGAGTTGGAATCGTTCCGGGTGCCAAAGGCAGAGTCGTTTCGCAGTGGCGGGACGACTGGTCGTACAATACACCGGCTGCCATTCTCGACGCCGCTGCGCACATGAGCTTCGGCGACATCCTGTTGCTTGAAGCCCAGGAGTACGATCCTGTTGGGGGCATATACTATTGGCCCATGGAAGTTGCCGACGCCAACTTTGAGGCCATCCGATATGCGACGGCGCTGGGCATCATCGTCGTCGAAGCTGGCTGCAACGGCGCCTGGGATCTTGACGCGTATGTCAACCTTGCCGGAAAACGCATCTTTGACCGTTCTACTGCCGACTACCGAGAGTCTGGCGCTATCATGGTTGGCGGGTCTCTCTCCACTATCCCTCATTATCGCTGGTACAGTTCGAACCACGGCTCTCGCATGGACGTGTATGCATGGGCGGAGGGCGTCGACACAGCCGACACGGATGATGCTACGGCAACGGAGAATTGGTACACCGCCTGGTTTGGCGGCACCTCCGGGGCGTCACCCATGATTGTCGGCGCGGCGGCTATTGTCCAGGGTATATCCAGCGCCAAGTTCGGCAAGAAGATGTCTCCTTTGGAGATTCGCCAGGTTCTAACCACAGGCGGCACCCCAAGTAGCGACCCGGCTCTTGACCGCATTGGGGTGATGCCCAATCTCAAAGCCATCATTGACAACTTACTCGGGAGTGGTGGGGAAACTCCTGATATCTACATCCGCGACCACGTCGGTGACTTGGGCAACACAACCTCGGGCAGCATATCCGCCAGTCCTGACATCATTGTCCGGCAGCAGCCTATTCCTAACCCTGAAGCTGCCCTCGGCACAGGCAGCAGCACCGAGGACAATGTCGCCCTCTCCGAGCCTGTCCTTGCTGGCCACAACCACTCCATCTACATCCGGCTTTCCAACCACGGCGCTGCCACCTCCTCCGCCACCAATGTCACTGTGTACTGGTCTGAGCCCGCTACCTTGGTAACCCCCAACATGTGGCACGAGATTGGCAGCGTCTCTTTGGCATCCGTCGCAAACACCAACCAGCTAACCGTCTCCCCTGCGCTGGCCTGGCCGGCCTCTTCACTCCCCAGCACCTCAGGACATTACTGCTTTGTCGCCCTAGCCGGGACCGCCAACGACCCCACGCCTGCCATTCCAACCAGCTTCCCCGACTTTGCCAAGTTTATCCGTGAAAACAATAACGCCGCTTGGCGCAACTTTAATCTTATCACTGGCCCCCCGGGTAATGCCACCGATGGCGCAGGCCGCTACCATCATTTGCCCGTCACCATTCCCGGTGCGTTCGACGCTCCGCGCGAGTTTGCTCTCAGGGCTGTCGGCAGCCTGCCCCAGGGGTCCAAAGTGAGCTTGCGGATGCCGCAGGAGCTGGGTCAGGCGCTGGGGGTCAAGGGATGTGCTCGCAAGGGTGACAACGGGGAGGACTTGGTGGCTCTGCCGATCAAGCCGGTTGGAGACGTGGATATTGGGAGAGGCGTGTTGCCGGCTGGTAGCATGGCTGCTTGTGAGCTGAGGGTTAAGGTCCCCATGGAGGCATATGCGGGTGAACGGTTGTATGAGTTTGCGCTTATCCAGATGTGGGAGGGGGTCGAGGTTGGAAGGGTTACGTGGAGGTTTGGGCGGGCTGTGCAGTTGTGAGGGTTGATTGTTTGATGTCTCATGAGGAAACACGAAGGTGCTATATGGGAATAGAATTCTGTGTTATCGGGTACCTAGCTAGACAGGGGGCATGGGGGGCGGAAGATGGCATTAATATTCGCATGAACACTGTACGCGGCGTTGTACGGTGAGGATACCTAGACATGATTACATTAGCTTTTTTAAAAGGGATTTGCTACGTCGGACTTGACTGACTACCTAGATATATATACCTACCAAACACAACAAAAGGGGGAGTACACCAGGCCTGAGCGTACCTACTGCGCCAACGTGTCTGACATGTGCCAATGCCCATGAAAACCAACTTGAACATATTAAGGAACATCGAAGCACGAATGCCCCAACGGACCGAAACAATGTAAGGAACCAATCTTGGTAGGTAATCTAGAGAGAGAAAGTCAGAACACAGCTTATCACCTATAGGCCAAGTAGCCGTTGGGCAACTTGAAGTATATTATATACGGGAAGTTTGTTTCTTCTCGATGTGTGCGGTGTTCAGGGGCGAGAGGGGCTACTATATTAAATAGCATATATGAACGAAGGTCATGCAACCCACCCAGGCTAGCAATTGCAATCCCCAGAGGCGAATCGAGCTGGCCGTTAGCTTGGACTCTCCCGGAGACACTGCAGCTATCTGAATCTCAAGTAGTGCTTGCAGGAGACCCTGATAATTCTTGCTTTTGAGTTCTAACCATGATCGGTCTAGTACTAGTAACGAAACATAAGGCCGAGGGAAACCGATCATGCCCTACGTCAATCTGAGAGAAAGAACCCGCGGTGACATATTACCCTTTGTCTCGTCATTCATATGCATTCAGCAGACGCTATATAGATAGCGGCTTCTAACTTGAAGTGTGAATCGAAGCCCGAGCCCACGGGTGCATCTTCGGGACTGGACCCGACGAGTCCGGTGTCCCCTGACTGCTTGTGCCTGCCTCCTTATCAGTGTGTCTCGCTCCCATATCACATGTCCCACCGTGGGAACCGTCTGTCTCTTTAGTCCTATTCACGTCTACATCCGTCATCCGCTATGCAGATTGGCTGGGAAGGAAAGGTATCCAGTGCTGCGAGCTCCTTTTTCCGGACTGGATCCGAGATGCCGGCAGTTAATTTACCTACAAAGTACTTCATAGGCACAGTACCAGTATACTAGAAGCTCCTGTAGGAGCTCAAGTGTTGATCACGCGGGGGAATTGGTCCAACAGCCTGCAGGTTTGTCTAACAGGATACAACCATTGGAACCCCTCACGCAACATGTAACATAGCCAGATAGCAGCGCCTGCCCAAACAGGAAACGCAGGAACAATGCGACTCCCCGCACTCGTCGGAGGGCCGTTGCGGAAGATCCTTGTGATCCTACAAGCCCATATTAGTATCCCATGCATCTCCCGGTTTTAGAACCCATCCCACATGCAACAGCCAAATCTCGAGACGACCTGGGAATGCAATGGCGGAGAAGAGAGGAATAAGCGCTGTCCATGTTGACAACAACAACATCGCCCCTGACCCCTTTTCACATCGCGACGCCGAAAAGATTCTTGTCCAGTCGTCCGACGATGTGCAGTTTGTGAACTTCAGCGACCAAATCCCGCACTCGATGCTCGAGGAACTCGCTCCCAATGGCGAAGGGGACTACATTCTCGACAAGATCAACAACATGACCGAGGAGGAAGCGCTTGCCATCGTCAGCGAATCGCACAAGTTCTTCGCCGACGACTGGAACTTCCCGACCGAAATGCGCTCGCGGATGGGCCGCCTTCTCGAGGGCCGCAAGGCGTACGGTGAATTCTATGACCGCGACCTCCGCATCGATGCCGTCATGCTGCGCTACTCGAGTCCGTACCCCGGTGTAAGAGCCGTTGCCGATCCTGTTGACGATCAGAATGTCCCTATCGAAACGATACGGGCGTACTTTTTGGGCATTTCTTGGGCCATCATGTGTGTAACTGAGTTTCCGTTGTTCAATGTCATTGCAGATCTTTGTCTCGAGGAGTCGAGGGCGAAGTCTATGCAATACGCTACAGCAGGACTTGGACGTAGGAGTGCTCGCAGCTGATAAGACCCAACAGCGGCACGTTCATGAGCACCTTTTTCAACAGCCGTTTTCCCTCCATTGGTTAGTGGTCATTGTTTGTTTTCTACCCCTTCCACTATCTGTCAGGTTTCCTACAAATAAGAAGACGGCAACTAACCCCATGCAGGCCTCAGTGGCTCTGTGATCCAGATCCTGCTCTTTCCCTGCGCCAAATTCCTGGAATGGGCACTACCTGACTGGGGAATTACGGTCTGGGGCGTCCGTCACTCGTTGAATCCTGGGCCATGGACGTAGGTCTCGGTCGCCAGACTGCAAATGCTCTTTATTGATCTTGCATTAGGTTCAAAGAGCGTATGTGAACTCTATGTCTCATACCCCAAGTTGTCATACCACTACAGGTAGCTGCAGAGCTTGGAAGACCTGGCCACATCCCCCCATAACAAGCCCCCCCTTCCCCTGCCTGCATCCAATGCCTGCTTTGTGAGAGAAAATACATAGGTACTAACAAGTGCAAGAAATGCTGAGTACAATCACATTTAACATTGCCATATACACGACGAACAGCTATGGCATGATCTTGGTTCAGCGTTTGGATCTCTTCTACGGCCTCGACTTTGTCACGTTTGGGTACCAGCTCATGTTGACTCTCTTTGTCCAGCTCATGGGAATGTAGGTATAAGTCACACACCGTGGCAATGGTTCTCCTGGAACGGTCTTCTTTAGATTACCTAGGTAGGTTTGCTGATTCATTCAGGGGCTTCGCTGGGTATCTCCGTCGCTTCAGCGTGTATCCGGTCAAGGCGCTGTGGCCCACGGTCCTGCCTCTCATCGCCATGAACCGAGCTCTCACGAAACCCGAGCCCAAGGAGAACATCAATGGCTGGACCATCTCGCGTTACCGCTTCTTCTACATTACATGCCTCTCAATGGCCATTTACTACTGGCTTCCCGGCTACCTTTTCACCGCATTGGCGACATTCAACTGGATGACTTGGATCGCACCCGAGAACTTCACCTTGGCCATCCTCACCGGCTCCAACCTGGGACTGGGCTTATTCAACCCCATCACCACCTTTGACTGGAACATTGCGACAAGCTCATACGCTGCTCTGGCACAGCCCTTCTTTGCCACGTGCACCATGTGGATCAGTGCCATCTTTGGGGGGTGTATCATCCTGGCCATCTTCTACACCAACATGAATTACACGGCCTATCTCCCGATCAACAGCTCGTCGGCCTTCGCCAACGACGGCAAACCTTACAGGGTGCAAAACGTCGTCGTCAACAACAAGCTCGACGAAAAGCTGTACCAGGAGTACTCGCCCCCCTTTTACTCAGCCGGGTACATCCTGACCGTGGGCGCCAACTTTGCCTTCTACCCCGTCTACTTCCTGTACATCATGGGCAACCAGTGGACGACCATGAAACAAGCCTACATAGATTTCTACCAAGGGCTGCGGCACGGCAAAGGCAACTACGAGGGCGCAATGGACGTGCACAGCCGGCTCATGTCCAAATACCCCGAGGTCCCCGACTGGTGGTTTCTGCTCATCCTGTTAGGCGCCGTCATCGTCTCGGTCATCTTCCTCAACATCTACCCGCTCGACACGCCTGTCTGGCTCGTCTTCCTCATGATCGGCATCAACATTGTCTTCGCCGTGCCACTGTCCTTCCTGTCGGCCACGACGGGCACCAACCTCGGTCTCGGCGCGCTCATCCAGGTGATTACGGGGTACCTGCTGCCGGGGAACCCCAACGCCTTCCTGTTTTCCCAGACCCTGGGTTCGTGGGCGCTGGCGGGCTACGGGGACAATTATGTTCAGGACCAGAAGATGGCGCATTACGTCAAGATCCCCCCCCGTGCAGTGTTCCGCTCCCAGATTGGTACCATCATCATCACCTGTTTTGTGGCCGTCGCCACGCAGAATTTTATCCTTGAGAATGTCAAGGGCTTGTGCACGCCCGACCAGCCCAGCCGGTTCACGTGTGCTAATGATGGGCATCCGCTGTACGCCAGTTCCCTGATGTGGGGGCTGCTCGGGTCCGAGAGGATGTTCAACTCGCTGTATCCGCTGTTCAAGTGGTGTTTTTTGATGGGCGTGGCCATCTCGATCGTGTTTCTTGTCGGTCAAGGGCTCGGCCCGAGGCATCTCCCCGGAGTCAAGGAGAGGTTGCGGCTCCGTCTCAGCCCGAGGACGTTTGCCCTCCTGGACAGGACGCTGTTTCCCTTTGTGGCCTCGCTGCTCTGGCTGAATCCGATTCTAATCATCCAGGGCATCCAGCACTGGGCGCCGTCGAATTTGTCGTACAAGACACCGGGGTTTATCCTGAGTTACATTTTCATGTACTGGATGCCCAGGCACCGTCTGGCGTGGTGGGAGAAGTATAATTGTACGTTGTCAGGCATTCATGATTGTGTTGTTATGGTCATGCTGACTGGTGTGATATAGATGTGCTCTCTGCGGCATTGACGGCCGGTGTGGCCATCAGCGGGTTGATCCAGTTCTTTGCGATTGGGTACAACCCCGTCAAGCTTTCCTGGTGGGGGAACACGGTGAGCAGCGCAGGGATCGATGGGAAACAAGTTGGACTGCTGCCCATACCGGAACGAGGATATTTCGGTCCAGTAAAGGGGAGTTTTCCATAACAGACTCCGAGTCGCTTAACTCAAGGCCAATACGGCTGAGCTCGAGCTCATCGTGCCACTGTTGGAGTGTTGCTGGGGTCTTGTGTGAGAAGCCATGCGCGAGCCCAAGAACACGAAAGATGAACCAGAAATCCACGATGACTCAAAGTATCTTGGAAACTGAGAGTTGCGGGCAAAGAGTTGCCCACGCGGCCACGCCGGAGATAGGCAATGTTGTCGACTCAAAAAACAAGCAGATAAGATTTTAAGTTGCGAACCCTGCAAAACCATTCAGGTTCAACAAAGCGTCCGGGTTTAGGGTCTACCGAAGGAAGACCCACAGGTCAAGAGTCTAACCCAACTTGGAACTGCCCACCCTTCAAGTTCCTTTGCTTTTCCCGTTTCTCACGCGACCATAATTTACAACAGTGTTCTCAACCTTGAGCCATCCCATGATAAATGCCGAGTTTTATAGATGTATCCATTAGAAGACGAGGTGTAATCCAAGATAATGGGAACACGAGGATAAAATGGCTCTAGTATCATGATAGATACGAATACTGTAAGGTAAGATTGTTTGTACTAGTACTCCCGGCTCCGTATCCGTAACTACTGTCTGGGCCGCTGGGCGCCGACTGGAAGTTGGCATTGGCTCAAGCTGTGGCGGCCAATGGCAGCCTCAAAAGTCTTGGAGATTTGGCAGTTGCAGGAAACAAAGCTCCTGCCTTCGCTCGCCCGACCCCATCTATAAGATTCCGTCGCTGATGCCTCACCTCGGAAGTTCACTGCATTCTACCAATGCTTTTCAGGACCTCCAGTCACGTTTGGCCCTTCCTTATGTACCTAGGCCGATAGGAAACTCTGATAGATGATCTGATAGGCCATTGCAAGGCTTGGACCCGCTTGAATGGTCCCCTACGGGATCCGCCTTGGCAGCTCCTCCCCGCTACCGGAGAGCCCGAGCTTTATCTTCCGGGATGAACTAAAACATCGGTGAGGGCTAGCCGGTGACGACAATGGCCCAACATTACCTCTAATGAAAGTAAAATAGCACTGCAGTTTCGGCCTCTTCAGATTCCTCAGCTACGAACCATGACGTCCGAAGATAATGAGAACACGCCTCTCCTCAACGGCAACCGCGATGGGGTCAATGGAACGGCCAGTGGCAAGGATAGGCCAACCCGAAAGCAAAAGCTGGCAAGCATGTTGCGACGACTGTTTGCGCTGCATGTCGAGAAGCGGATCCTGTTTGCCGGCTTCTTCATAACCCTCTCCTTCAGCTTTACACAGGTCCCGTAAGACGCCTTCCTTGAAGAAGTTGAGATGAGGATCTGCCCAAGGCAGAATACAAACGCTAACAACGCGCTATCCCTCAGTATCTTTTACGTGTTCCACCTGATGGTCTGCGACGTGTTCTACAGCAATCACCCACCTTACCAGGGCACAGGCGATCGATGCAGCCGCAACGAAATCGCCGCGGGCACGGCCACGCAGTATTCCATCCTGGGCATGAGCACGACCTTTTGCGGGACCATCAACCTGCTTGTTGCCGGCTGGATGGCCAAGCGGTTCGGCCCGCGCACCGCCCTCATGGTGCAGACCTTTGTCCCGGCCATTCGGGTGGCGACCCAGATCCTCGGCGTCATGGCAGGCGGTCAGGCTGGCATCATCATCTTCCAGTGCACCCAGCTTATTACTGTCATCGGGGGGCCGGTGGGATACATGTCAGTGAACTCATCACCTCATGCTACTTGGACGCAGATTGGACGTCACCAGTTGAGTAAGACAATGTCCGCTAACGCCACAAAGTCTGGTCGCCAACATCATTGCGGGTGAGCTGGTTGAGCCCTTGCGACGAACTGTTGTGTTTGGCATGCTCCAGGGATGCATCATGCTGGGTCAAGGCATTGGGTACCTCAGTAAGCTTCGAATCTCTGCCTTTATCCTTCTACGCGTGTGACTCAGCCCTTGTTGACGGCGTGTAGGCGGAGGGATGATCGGAGATGGTTGGGGCATCCGCCGGCCATTTGAGGTTGCATTTTGCTCATTTCTCCTTGCGACTCTGTATGTGCGCATGGCGTTGCCATTCATTCCGGCCACATCCTTATCACGGGGCAACTCCAAAGGCTTCGCTGGATTCCTCTCACCGCTGAGAGTACTTGCGCCCCAAAAAGTCCTCCTCGGCAGCGGCATAGTGATGAAGCACCATGGGGTGTTGTTTCTTTGTGCAGGAGTGTTTCTGGGCGTGGTAAGTCGATCCATATTGCTGCTGTACATCATCCTTTGTACCCGGCGTTGTAATGAGTGGCCCTGACAGACGATTCTGCTAGTTGGCGACGGGCTACGCGCCGTTGCTGATCCAGATGTATGCCACAGCCGTGTTTGAGTTCAACCAGGGAGACAACGGCTGGCTCATGTCGGAATTCGCCTTCATGCGTGCCGCCTTCTTGATATTCGTCTTCCCCTTCATCATTAGCAACGGCCGGAAATGGTATCTTACTCGCAACCAAGGCTGGAATTCGGGGGAGGCCGAACCTGCATCACCACCACGGTTGGCAACGGACCCAGAGGAACTCGAAGCCCCAATCGGCAGCCTTGCCGAAGAGGAGCCCGTCGGCTCTTCAGCAGCCAAGGAAGATGAGGGGACGGCGTTTGACCTTTTCTTCCTGCGGATAAGCCTGGTCGTTGACGGTGCTCTGACCATGTGCGCCGCCTTTGCCACGCAGAAGTGGCACATCTACCTCGGTGCGTTGTCATTGCGGCTTGTCTTGATACTCGTTTAACTCTGGTTACTCGCAGCTGCTGCTCTCCTTCCGTTTGCATCGGGCTCGGCGCCAGCGGCAAAAGGCGTCATGACCGAGATGTGCTCCCAGTCAAGGAGGGCCGACGCTCTCAACGCCCTTACTCTTGTCGAGAACATCGCGAGGCTCGCTACACAGGGGTTGTTTGGGTTTGTCTTTGCTGCTCTGGCTGAGATAGGTCGGCCTCATCTGACGTTTTTCATCAATGCGGTGGGTTTGCTGTTGCCCATTGTGTCAGCTCGATCACGAGCAAAGGGCGGCATGCGTTGTCATTGGAGGCTAACCATAAGGACGGATATCTAGGCTATTGCGTTCCTCGCGGCATGTGTTCTGTTGCTCTCTCGCTTTCCCCCGGAAGGGAGCAAGCCCATGACAGTCGAGGAAAGCTCGGATCTTCAGTCTCGCGATCCAGAAAGCACCGAGGCCCACGAGCAAACACGGGTTAGCCGAACTTGAAGTGGCCAAGAATGCTTGTTAACCCAGCGGGCAACACTCTGTTGTTACTAAGAAAGACAGGCCCAGACCCTAGACTGGAAGGTATGTCACCCTTTCTACTGATAGCATAATACGGGATCTTTGTCAAACCCCGTTCATAACATCCCTTTCGTGATACCTAGAATACGGGTCGACGCGAACCCATCGAAACCATTATCGCTGATTGGCTTTCGAGACAGAAATTGACAGGCTACCGACCTATACGTTCTGAAATCGAGAAAATATGAGGAGATATGTTATATACGATACATGAAGATTATGGCAGCTCATATAGAGTCTACCAGTGTTCCAGAGCGGATGAAATCGCTGCAACACTTAGCATAGGTAGGCACGGTACAAAGGGACGGGATGTATACTGGTCCTTCCCTACGTCGTTCCACTGCCGATGCCCCTCAAAGTAACTCCTAACCTCTGACTACATCGGCTAAAGTGGTTTACATGCAGTTATCCCGCTTCGAATCTAGATTTTTGGGAATCTGTCCCGTCTGCGGGGCCAGAAGCCCCAGTGACACCAACCGAGTACAGGCAATATCTTTAACCTCCGGGTTGAGCCAGCACCTAGAACCCTAGAAGTCACTCTAAGTCGGACTTCTCCAGCAAACATCCAGTCAGCCAAACAGAACCTGCTGTGTCTCATTAGCGAGGTTTCAATAGACAACGTGACAACTTGAAACATCTTCCACCAACGTCAAATCAACACCATGAGGTGGGACTACAAGGTCTTCAGCACGGCCGTCCTTGCTGGCGTCCTGGGCTTCCCCCTCGCGAGCGCAAGTGTTGGTGCACAACAACCTTACAGCTTAGTCGAAAGGCGGCAGACAACCGCGGCCTGCTCAGATGGCTCGACGATCAAAAGTCTCTGGCAGGTCACCGAGCTGAATGTGACATACACCGGGAACGAGCTGGTGCGGCCTGGCAACGCCTCGTTCACGATAACCAACAACCTGACCAACACGACGGAGCGGGTGCGCTGCACGCTGCGTGCAAACTATCTCTGCGAAGTCAGTGGAACATTGGGCAACGATTCGCTCCACCTGTGGCTCCAAATCAACCTGGACGTGGCTACCTTTACGCTGAACCAGTCGGTAGCCTGCAGCAACGAAGGCAGCACTCAGTATGTTTACTTATCTACGCAAATCCTTCTTTGACTATTGAGACCTTGACACTAACACTGAACCCAACCAGGTCGGCCTACGCAATTGGAACTGCCGAGCTGTATCTCACCTGCCTCGAGCCATACATCGATGAAGACATGTCGTGCTATGCAGAGGGTGGCGCTGACGGATTTGCTGATGGCGTTGTCACGCTCCAAAGTCCCTCGGGGATGGCAACAAGGCATATTCCTACACAAAATAAGGGTCAACTTTCGAAAAAGAAGGACGTGAAGTCATCTCATGAACGCACTTTACCGCGTAACCCATTTGGGGCTAGGAGGAGATTGCCTGTCGCGCCTGTCATGCTGGAAGAGGAATAGGAGACAAGATGTAACATGGAATCTGTTCGTAGTATTCACCAGCTATGGACCCCGTTTGATCGATAGCTGGGTTTGCATGTTTATTTACAAAGCTTGATCCATCTTGACTCGTACCAAATGCACTTGTAGACCCATTTCCTAGCCAGCAGAGCTGAAGCCAAGCATGATACAAACTTATGCACCTCGTCCTAAGAATCCAGGAAGCGGCGTTCCCTGCATACCCCCAAAATGATATCATGGTCAACCTAAGGTGCAATCCAGTGTGTTGATGCACTTTATTCTAACACCAGGGGCTTCTTTTCTCTAAACGATTGGATTTCCGTCAGCTCATTGCTCTAGCTTTATAGTCTCCGACCTAGTGACTCATAAGGTATTTTGATACTTACAGCACTTGACGCTCCATTCTATTAAGCATAGCTGCAGGTACAGCCCTGGCGCTCGGCTGGGTTGAAGCTCGGGTAGGGCACGCAGAGCAAGCCTCTTGGGCAGGGTCTTCCCTGAGCACCACAGGCAGAGTTCGAGCACGGTCCCGTATACTGGCCAAAGGAAAGGGCCGTGAAGGCGAAAAGGACGAGGACGGATTTGGAGAACCACATGATGCTGTAAAAGAAGGGATTGGGAGCTGCTACTGGGAGGTATTATGTCGGAGCGACGTTGCAATGGGAAACCAGGGGCTGTTTATATACACCATGTAGCATGGGTAAGAAAGTAGGTAACGCCCGTCCAAATTGTACTCACCGCAGCCTCGGCGGTTTCTCTGAAGCGACCTGTTGCAACTCAGGGCAAGACATGCCCAGGCACTAGGTGGAATACTCCCGCCTTGGACCGTCTTGGCCGCCTGCCACACAGCCTCCTGATTTGTGGGAGCACTCGATCATCGGCGTCTCGCATTGCAGAGCGGCCAAAAGCAATATGGATCGTCCAATCTTTGGTGCAGCGCATCCCGATCGCGGCTAACACACGCGTCACTGAGTTGTCATCCGTTCCGAATGTGAAGGTTTTAGCGAGCTTTGTTGACGGAAGCCATTGGCAGGCAGGACTTGATCACAAGACTCGAACTCGGCTTGGCCTCAGCTGCTTAAGGTAAACTTGAATTCACTCTCTGTGTTGAGGCAGAAATAAAACCCTCAGTTCATCATGTATTACAGTAATATTTGATGTCTAAGAATAACACGACGGTGCTCAACGGCGACGGCGGTTGAGAGCCTCCATCTCCTTGGCATGCTGATATACAAGCGGCTGGGCCTCGGCGTCGTCCAAGTAGATAGTGAATCCATCATTATGGTTGCGGCCGTACGAGTAGTTGGAAAACCCAAACTGCCAGTACATGCTGCCAGCCAGCTTCTCCTCAACGGCAATCTTCTGCCACCCACCGAGCACTTCCACCCGGGTAGCGTTCTCCACCCGGCCGAGATACTCCAGCCGTGCCTCGGGCGTCAACCACCCATACTCTTCATGCACAACAGGCTTGTTCGCACGACGACCAGACTCAGCGTGGTCCTTAATCCACTGGTTCGTCCACGCGGCCGTCTTGCTCCACCAGTCCGGGTACGAGTGGAACACGCCAAAGTCGATGGTATCAAGCGCGAGCTCGTGGTCAAAGTCGCCCCCGTCGCTGCCGTTGTAGGCCCAGTCGTCCGACGACGGCCGGTTGAACCCGCCCTCGCCGCCCCACGTCACCAGGTGCCGCCGGTCCAGGCTCTTGATGTAGGCGCTCATCTCGGCGATCCAGGCGCCAAGTACCTCCGGGGTGCAGTTGCTGCTGCGCGGGAGGTTGCGCACGCCGTCGGCGCCGCAGCGCGGTTCGTTGGCAAGTTCCCATGCCATGATGGCCGGCGAGTCCTTGTAGCGGGTGACGAACGCTTTGACGTAGCGCTTGAAGGCGTCCTTGATCTTGGGGGCTGTGTAGAACTGCATTGTGTCAGTTTACGTACCTTACTTTTCAAGTGATGGGGAAGTGTCTGTACTCACATCATCGTGGAATCGGCCCCCGAGATTGACCGTGTAGACATCCATGCCGCCGTAGTCGGCCCAGTTGTTTGTCAAGGCGACGATGAGCTTGATTCCAACCTTGGACGCGGCATTGACGACCTTGTCGAAGCCGCTGAGATCAATGGTCGAGGTGCCGTTGCTGTGCCATCGCTGGAACACAACCTCCGAAGGCCCAGCCCCTTCCCCGCCGTACTGGGGCAACCCCCCGGGAACATAGGTCGAGTTCTTGTCGTTGAAGCCCCAGGTGCGGAATACCTTGAGGCCAGCCTTCTTGGCTGCCGTCAAGCCCTTTTCAACATCGTCTTGGTTCTAGACATAGGAGATGTGGTCCGTCAGCAACCAGTTGGATTCATGTTGGCATAGGATGGGCAGACGAACTCCGTTGAAGGGGAAGTAGTAGGCATTGCTCCCAGCAAAGTGGAAGTCCTTCCCGTCCAGCTTGAACTTGCTCCCCTCGACAGTGACAAACCCCTTAGAACTACCTGGACGACCCCCTGGACTCGGAGCTGCCACGGCCGTGGACGCGAGTAGTCCCGTGGCGAACCAATGCAAAACGGACGTGTACATTTTGAACTGGTGTAGAGTATTTGCACCGCGGATGTCGCGAGGAGGTCCTTGCCCACATCTTCATCGCGTCTGGCTCCTAGATATTTATCATGCGGACATAGAAGCGTCTGGTACTTCATGGTGTTGCCTGTTTTTTACAAACGGAGCTCGATGAGCCGCCCTCCAGGGGTGTTGTGCTTGGCATGCCTTGGCGAAATAGGGGATCTCCAACCCCTTTCCCCGCCGCTCTTCCAGGCGTCCCGCTCCAACTGAGCCTCGGCCCAACAAAAAGCGTGGTTGACGGCCTTATTTTCCCGGGAATACCTGCGCGTTGTCTCCCGACCACCCCGCTCGCTGGCAGAGGCAATGTCGGGTCTTGCTGCTCCTTGTGGGATAGCACGGCCAATGCCAGGGGTCTGGGCCTGCATTCTGACATCGGTGATCGTGCGTCGAATTATTGATATTCGAAGATGGGCCATGGCAGCTTATCGGAGGTGTCCCTTCAACCTGACGGCTCCGTTCCACACGGTATAGCTGATGGGAAGTAGTATCGCCGTAGTGGATATGTTCATCATCGCGATCTGGTCCAAATCCTCACAATTATATTTTAACAGTAAAATGATGTTCTTATATACATTACATAGTTTGGATCCCGTCGCTTTCCCTGGACCCTCCTAGATGGTATCCCCACCACCGCAAGGACCAGAATGGAGATGGGCATGGCCATGGGTATCAGCATCACGCTTGAGCATCTTGGCGCGGTCGGCGTCCCATCGCCGGGAGTTCACATTGACAGCCGGGAGCGAGTCAAAGCTAACAGCGTACTTGGCGACCGAGTGGGCAATCGCCTTAGTATTGAGCAAGAAGGCGTCCATGTTGAGGTTGTCAACCGTGTCGCCGGCCTTGTGGTAGTTGGCGTCGTAGGCAACGCCCGCCTGGCCACCGAACAACTTCGCCTCCTCCTCCGTCTTGAGCACCTCGGCGCCCGTGAACAGCCCGCCCGAGGGGATGCCGTTCTCGATGAAGGCGGCGTAGTCAGAGCGGCCAGTGAAGGCGGTCGGCACCGAGGGGGTGTTCTTGGACTTGAAGAAGTCCTCAAAATCCTTCTCGATGACGTCTGAACCCGAGGGGCCGGTCAGGTTGAAGGCGTTTCCGTCGCCGTCGTAGATGCCGTAGATGTGGTTGGGGCTGGCGATCATGTCAAAGTTGAGGTAGGCTCGGATCTTGGCCATCTCGGTTTCGCTGCTGTTGATGGATCTCATGTAGTGGTACGAGCCGAGCAGGCCAAACTCTTCAGCGCCCCAGAAAGCGAAGCGGACCGCATTCTTGACGCTGAACTTGGTGAGAGCCTTGGCCACGGTCAGAATGCCGATAATGCCGGACCCATCGTCGCTGAAGAGTTTTCTGTTAGCAAAAGGGACCCAAAGCTTCATGTTATTATTTCGGTGAACGGAATCCTGAAGACTTACTTAACACCCGGCCCGGCAGGAACGGAGTCCGAGTGACCACCGACGACAAGGACATTCTCGTGGTCGCCTCCCTTGGTCTCGGCAATGACGTTGAAGTTGACGCGCTCCTCAACGATGGCGTCGATCTTGAGCGTGGCCGTGACAGCGCCCTGGGACAGCTGAGCGAGTATGGCCTGGCCATCCGCCTGGCTAATGCCCACAACGGGGGCATAGTCCAGGAAGGGGGTGCCCAGCGTGCCAGAAAGCAAGCCCTCCGCGTTGTTGTAGATGATGGCGGCGACCGCACCGGCAGCCTTTGCGCTCAGCGCCTTTTGCGAGAAGGTGCAAGTGCCACGCGAGATGAGGGCAATCTTGCCAACCACATCGGCCGGGAAGTCGGCCATTTCGCAGCCCAGGTTGGCGATGGCGAGGAGGGGCGCCGTCACCTCACCTGGAGTGCCAGGGGTGTAGGTCAGGATCTGGCTCTCTATTGACTGTTCGCCGACCTTCAGGTCGCCCGAGCCCGTCGAGAAGATCTCGGTGAAGGGCTGCTTGACCACGTCGTAATACCCGAGACACTTGAGCGTCTTGTAGACCCAATCCACCGTGGCATTGTGGCCAGCGCTCCCAAAGGCACGGTTACCGCCATTCTTGTCGGCAAAATGCTGGAGTTTGTTGGCGCCGTCCAGGAGATCATGCGATTTCATGAGAGACTGCAGCTTCTCGGAATCTACCAACGGCTTGTCGGTAGCGCTGGCCAGGGCGGGCAGCGCCACGGAAAGAAGCGACGTGGTGGTGAACCTCATCTTGAACTAGAAGCCTCAGCGTGCGCGTTAAAACCCGAGATTTTGGTCGATGGCCGTCACCGTGTCACGGACATGAAGACAAGAGGAGAAGGGGGCCGGGGGGCATGAGCGGCGGGCGGGACAGAGTGCCCAATATCAGTATATGTAATTTGACTTTCCAGGACCCCGGACAGCCAATTCCGCCTGACGTGAGCTTTGGGTGTAATTTGCAGATTGCGTTCCGTGGTAGCATGGTAACGTTGATTAAAGTCTGGACCTTCTCGAAGTCGCAAGGCGCCATCTGGGAGCACAATCGCGTCTGGGCGCGAAGCCGCTTGAGGAAGTTTGTTGCAACCTTTGCCCTGGCAACTGCCCTCTCGAGTAAAGAACGGAGCGGCTGCAGGGCCCATGTATCGACAAGCATCGTCCTGCAAGCCGCCACCGCTAGATCCGCAACGGCAGGTCGGCAGCCGTCTTTGGCTGGGCGATGTCTGGGCTTTCCGGGGATGTGGGGCTGGATAAAAGCCCGTTGTGGATTTTCGTGGATTCCAGGCATCAATTTCAACGGCCCAACCTATCAGAGTCGATTTGCACATCAACGTTCCAGATATGCCGCGAGCCAAGACATGCAACTCTATCGCGCCCCGACCTATATTTCGCCGTACCTTCCTTCCTCTGGTTGCAATGCGCGATGCCCAGACCAGCATCGCACGCAATGTCGCTGCTGACCTGCTGATCCTGGGACCAATGCCGCCTGCCCGTGCGGACGGACCGCCTGGTGGCGGCCGGGTGACTGGCAACGGGCGATCTCAGAGGCGATGCCAACAGGATAGGGGTGGCACTTTGGGGGCTTGCGATGGCAGGAATTTTTACTGTGGTTCTTTTGTAGCTTATCACGTGCTTATCTGGATTCTGGACGAAGATGTTGTGTTGATAAACATAAAGCGTGCAGTAGTTACACGTACCTTCGTACATACAACGACCTACATATCTAGCAGATCACACCCATCGCTGTGTCCGTCCAAAGTTCTCCCAGAAACTTTGCGCGAGCAGGGGCTGGCCCAACCTACCCGCTGGCTTGTGCATATGTTCTCTGAACGATCGGCAGAAGGAAAAATCCTCTATCAGGGCAGCAACCGCATAATTGTAAAATTTGCCCAAACCGAAGAGTTTGTTGTAGAAGCGATTCATCGACGACTGAAGTTTTATCCGATCATTTGCCCTTTGACGTGCGGATCAGCGGTGTCAATCGTGTTCAGTCGGATGCTGCCTGCAGGTGCTACACAGGGCCATGACGTCACTCGTGCGTCCTCGTCCCACCAACGGCGCCAAGTCCCGACTTTGACACTTGCGGCTCCATCTGCTCCATTCTCTGCTCCATCGACGCACGCGACCAGCGTCGTGATGGCGACAGATACCACTTCCTCAGACAATGAGTCCCGAAAGAGCCCATACTCTATCCGGAGGTCAGGACGCCCGTTCACAAAGTCGTATCGAATCTATTTCGAGCGCACCAAAGACCATGTCCCCGTGTCTCCCTTCCACGACATCCCCTTGTACCATGATAAAGATGCGGGCATCTTGAACATGGTGGTTGAGATTCCGCGGTGGACAAATGCGAAACTTGAGGTATGTGGTCTTTTCATCCGCACTCATCGTTTCAACTCCGTCGCCCGTGCAATCAGCTACTCACAAAGTGCAGATTTCGAGAACCGAAAGCCTCAATCCCATCAGCCAGGACACACTGCACGGCAACCCTCGGTTCGTCAAGAGCTGCTTCCCATACAAGGGCTACATCTGGAATTATGGAGCGCTTCCTCAGGTTGGTGCACTCTCAATATCCGAAACCATCATAATCACCAGAAATTGCTTGAACCGAACTTATGATCCCAGACATGGGAAGACCCACACTACAAAAACCCCGACACCCACGCCAAAGGCGACAACGACCCGCTCGATGCCTGCGAGATTGGCCGGGCCGTTGCCAAGCCCGGCGACGTGAAGCAGGTCAAGGCCCTCGGCATCCTCGGCCTGATCGACAGCGGCGAGACCGACTGGAAGGTCATTGTCATTGACGTGCACGATCCCCTGGCAGAGAAGCTGCACAGCCTTGACGACGTCGACAAGCACCTTCCCGGCTTGCTCGACGCCACAAGGGATTGGTTCCGGGTTTACATGGTTCCTGACGGGTATCCGCCGAATGAGTACGCCTTTGATGGGAAGTTTCGGGATGCAGAGTACGTGTTGGGGCTTACTCCGTAATGTTTGTGGTCTGAACGGCGCTGACAAGCTTCGGGGTAGCTACGCCAATCGTATCATTGATGAATGTGAAGCTGCGTGGAAGAAGTTGGTTCGAGGAAAGGCTAAGCACGGGGATATCTCATTGTAGGGCTTCCGTCGAACAGGTTTGAGTGTTTCCAGGGGATGCTAACTCCATCTGCTGCAGAGTCAATACCACCCTGTCAGGGACCCCCGGGAAGACTGACCCGGATACCATCGACTTGCCCCCTGACGAGGAATTACCACCGGCCCCCATCGAGCAGGATCTTGAGGAGTGGTTTTTCGTTGACAGGGACTCGTTGGACACCACCGAGGCCTCGCTGGCGTCAAGCTCTCTTAACATTGTCTTGAATACCGTGTAGCACCATCACAGAGCTCGTGGGGACCTTCGGCCCCCTTCAACTGCCGAAGGCTGCACTGCAGCAATACAATTACTGGTTACATGTCAACACTAGCGCTCCAGATCCGCTGGCAACTCCGCCACCCCTTCTTTCCTCTCATGGCCAAACCCGCCCGAGTGTCCCCTTTTGCCCGCAGACTCCCAACCGACCTCTTCACCGGGTAACCTGGAGAAGCTCCCCGACCGCACACTCCCACTACCACTATGCTTATTAGCAAATCCCCTTCCACCCCCACGTCCCATCGAGTCCAGCTCAACCCTCTCGCCCCATGCACCCCCTCCGCCTAGACCCTTCCACATGCCCCAACCACCACCGGTACTACTCCTACTACCCATATCATCCCACCCACCGCGCGTCAGCTCAGGCAGCTCAACCCGCGGCGGCCCGGCATCATATCTGCCGTCTTCAAGTCCACTACCAGCTTCAGCATCACCGTGACCCAACCTTGACGGACTCAGTCCATCTTTAACACTGACGGTCGTAGTACTTGGGCTATGATGTGCAGCACCAGCAGCAGCGGTTTTGATACCAACTAACTCCTGATGCAGCTCATTATCCTCACTACCGTGACCGCCGTGACCACCACAGTCCCTGTTCAAGTTGCTCGCTGTGCGTCCGCCTGTGGCTGCGGCGCGCTGCATCCCGCGTCGGTAGGCGAACCACAGCAGTACAGAAAGCAAAGCTAGGAAGAGGATGCCGCCGGCTATGCCGATGCCGGCTTTTGCTGCTGTTGATAAGGGATCATCTGCACCGCTCGGAGGTGTTGGTATGGGTGGGATCGTGGAAATCACGGTGGAAGTTCCTTGGGATATGAAGAGCGTGGAGGTAATTGAGGAGGGCCCGGTTGTCGTGAGCGGAACTTGATGTTGAAGGGTGGATGATGCGGAGGAGGAGGCAGTTTGCTGCGATGCGTACAATACCTCAGTTAGTATCACGCGACCACGCGAGAAATGGTTGGGGGCAGGGGGGAGGTGTCAGGGGCTCAGGTTGCGCGACATACCCCGGTGCTTTGTGTACTTGTACCAACGCCTGAGGCCCCGGCGAAACGGAACCGGGGCGAGTAGTCGACGCTCCCAGAGTCTTCAATCCGCAGCTCATACGAGTCTGTGGGCAACGTCGACGGCGGTGTCCAGGTGTATGCTTCGCCCTCGTAGTCCGAGACTAATACCAGTACCGGCTGCAGGTCTGCGTCGGGCCCGTTCATGAGCGTGATGGTCACGGCGCCACGATTGTTGGTCCAGGTGATTGTGAACGGGGCCCCGGCCTCAATGTAGTAGTCGGGATTCGTGAACGTGACTGCTGCCAGGGCAACCCCTGGGAGGTGGGCGAGGAGCGCGGCCCATGGCCATATTGCGCGTTTGGTGAACATCGTCTATTGAAGATGGCCTACAGAGATGACTATCGTTGGGTTTTGGTTAGACCGCTAGAGTACTGGCAGGTTGAGCTTCTGTTCCATAAGAGCGTGGCGGGTAAGGGGGGGAACATGGGAAGGGGTCCAGAAGTTAAGGTAGGTATTGTACCGAACAAACACCAAGGACTCGTCGTCGTCGCCATCCCGGGAACGGGAAAAGGGATGTCTCCAGGACAGAGAAAAGATCATGTTGGAGTTTCAACGCTGTGCAACCCCCTTTTCATTTCTCGCCAAGTTCCGAAGAGGCGCCGAGTTTGTGGCTCCGTGGCTGCTGATAGGAAACGAGACAAAGTGGTGGCGCATCGAGCGCACCAATCGTCAGCTTCTGCAAAGTTCAATGGCGCAGCTGGAAATGATTGTGATCGATCAGTACCAGTTACTGTTAGCAAGCTGGTATCACCCCGAACGACCCAACTGTGAACTGTGCTGCTTCGTCTAGCACATTACCAAACACTGAAGAGACGGGAGCTGCCAGGCTTTGTCAGGAGAGTACTGGGCTAGCAAATTGAGTCAAGCATCCCCGATGCGTGTCTTATTTCTTCAATATATACTCAAATGATAGACAAGAAAGTATGTGCAGGGTGAGCAAAGCAAGAGTATTTACAAGAATATCCACCACATGTGCTGCCGCGTCCAAAGGACAGTATTACGCTAACCTAGTAGCCCTCAGCAAGTCGACACAAAGTTGGTAGCCTTGCAGTAAGTGCCATCAGGGCCGGAGCCAATCTTGGGGGGCTCATCGCCATCATTGTTGCCCGTGAAGCGGTCGCAGATCTTTCCGCTGTCCTGGCAGCTGTTGGAGACGACGCACGTGTCGCCGTAGTTGGTGTTGATGCCGCAGAGGACGCCGCCATCGACGGCAACCGAGCCGTCAATGATAACATTGCGGGCCTTGCCGTTGTTGGAGCAGTTGCCGCAGCTGCGCACGAGTTTGCCGTAGTCGCTGGCGTAAAAGTTCTTGATCGAGACGGTTCCGAATCCGTTGAACTGCACCACCTTGTCGTCGGCGTGGAACGCACCGCCGCCAATCACGTAGGACGTGCCGCTGGATTGCTTGAGGGTGCTGCAGGACAGATGGAGTTAGTATAGGGGTTGGATAGGAAGGGGGGCCTGAGATGGTGGAGAGAGAGTCCTTACAGCGCATCCTCGCAGACATCCTGCCACCAGACGTTGATCAGGGTGCTGTGTGTCTCGGTTAGCACAGTTGACGACACAAGACAAAAGTCTCTGGTAAGCTTACCATGTGCCCTTGCAGTGAACACCTTCAGCTTGGTTGGGACCAATGATAACCTATCCACCCCGTGTCATTAGCCAACCCGGTTCCTCCGTCATCAACTCGAACTCGGCAACTTACGTTGGACAGCGTGGCACCGTTCTCCAGGATGAACATGGCGTCAGCCTCGCCTGTCTCGCTCTGTCCCTTGCACACCGCGGCTGTTGCAATTTCTGTCAGTCTCCGAAAATCTCGCCTTACACTGAGGAAAAAAAACTGTCAGAAACCTACGAGAACGGTCATAGCTCTTCATGCCGCCGTCAAACGAGCCGCCAGCGGGGACGGTGATGGCCTTAGAAGTAGCAACAGCACCCGAGCTCTTGGGCAGTGTGGTGGTGACTCCGGAGGGTTGTTGGGCCTGCGTCGTCACTACTTTGCTGGTGACCAGAGTGGTTGGCTTGGCCGTGGTGACCTTGGCAGTCGTCGTGAGCTTGGGAGTCGTAGTGGGTGCCGGTGTGGGCGCCGCGCCGCCGGTGAAGTAGCACGAGCACTCCTTGGAGATCAGGCTCGGCTTGTTGCTGCAGTTGCTGGCCCAGGCGGGCAGTGCAGTAGTAGCCTTCACGGTGCTCTGGGTGAAAGTGGCGCAGAATGCCGAGGCGGTGGCCTTGTTGGCGCTCATGAAGCTGGCACAGGCGTTGCTCTTGGGGTCCAGGCAGCCCAGGACGGCCGGGAGAAGGCCGAGAAGTACGTAGTGATGCATCTTGTAAATCGGGCGCGTAACGGGGAGCTCGCTGAGCTGAGAAGTTGAAGTTGAGTCGGAAGGATCGAACTGTTTGGGAGAAGAAGTTGAAGGAAAAAGAAGGGTAAAAGAACGGACTCAAGATATGGGGTTGGACGCCCTGACTAGCTCTCTACATCAAGAAGATGCCGTGAGAGTGTGCGAGTGAGGCTGACTTTATATCTTCAACTTCCATCTTATCAGATTCCACCCTTTGAACGGCCACTGCTTTCTTTGCCCCATCACCACGTGTGCTTGTACCCGAGGAAGAGATCGTACTAGGTCGTGTAGGTGCCAAGCGTTCAAGTTTTGTCTGTTTCTCCCGAATTTCTCCACCAGTCTGTTTCATCATTCCACATCTGAAAGCCAAGCCCGGCGTGCTCGGGGGAAGTGAGAGCGTAGCCCGAGATGTCCAAATCAGTCATTGCCGCAGAAGAAGGCTGTAAGGAGAACCCTGCTTGTGTCGACTTTGCTTAGGTATCTCGGTATGTACATACATCCCGTAAAACCTAAGATAGTGTAATGATCTACACCTGTACTCGAAAAAGGCATCGCTTGACCGAGTGGTCCGAGTCGTTGGGACGGAGAAACGCGCTAGCTTTGAATGCCACCAATTAGATCCAGGGCGACATTCCAGAAGGAGCTAAACTTCTCGCAAGACTGGGCCCATCCTAGCCCCGTCAGATCCTCCTTCAATTTCCGGACGTCCACCTTCCTCCTATTTGCGGTGGGTACGGCCAAGACAAGCGTCAACCGACCCAACCGGAGGTGAAGCTTCCGCCGCGAGCGACAAAGCTACCAAGCGATCGTGGAGCTGGTCTGCGGACCTTGCCGTCTACATACCTTAACTCGCGAACGAGTACGACCGACGTTGTCTGGAGTTCTTGTGTTCTACATACCATGTATTCGGGGCCTCGGGCATGCCGGAGTTTCCGGTTGGTGCCGGCTTCGAGGGTCACGCAGGTCTACGAATTCGTCAGGTTGTCCGTTGTTGAAGCCTTCACTTCTTCTGCCGACAGCACGCAAGATGCTAAAGCCAGGTTCTGAATCAGAGATGCAAAAACGGGCTGTTCGTGCGGGTGCGGACTCGGAAGAGTGCAGCCTGGAGACATTGAAGTCACCTTGGTCCTTGTTCCTGCGTCCAAGACAATGGACCTACCGACCTACCTGAGGCTACCTCCCTTACTTGGCGCAGTCCTTGTTCTGCATCCAATTTTTCCGCCTCTCGTCGTAGAGGTATTATACCTCACCAGACTGGCAGGATGAGGGGGGTCTCTGACATATGACATCGCGGCCACGCTGACTCCTGCCTCGTAACTTCGACGCAAGCGAGGTGGACAAACGCATGAATCTGAACCACATACCTACATGTACACAGATTTGGAGAGGCTCAACCCCTACCTACTCCGTACTGCACTACTCAGCATTGACTCCGGGTCCTGAGCCGCCGTGACACTGGTGAGAACTCAAAAGGAGGTACGCCTGCTGCATAGACGGCAAAACAACTGAATCTGGTACCTACTACACATGTCTAGGAGTCAAACCTAAATCCTATCGTGGGCCGAGCTGCTTCGACAGGCCATGGGCGAACGCCAAGGATCACTGTATGTTTCCATGCCATATCCCGAATCTGGCCAATCGTACTAACAGGCGTATAGTAGTAAGGGTCAAGTGGAAGACATACTGTACTTAGCTCTCTCGATCGATGATCGCCTGGCAGCACAACCTCAGTCAAGCCGTGTGACCGCGGCGTGTAACGGGGTTGGCCCCTTTCGAAACTTCAGGTAACTGCACTGTCATCATGCTCTTCTTTACCACTAGCCCCTGTGTTAGAATGCCTTCGATATGCTCACATTTAGGCTTGTGCTACGTGCTATAGGCCACTCTCAACACAATGCAATATTCTTCGAAACAGGTCCCGCCCGCTCCCAAGCTTTAACATGAATCCTCGCGACCGACACGCGTCTCGCTATACAGTCTCGTTGGTCTTTGTCCCAAACCACAAGGAGAGCATCTACCACGCCACTGCCCGGGCCACAAGCCTTATACGCAGAGCGGTCGAACAACGGGATATCCCCCTCCACTCTGTTTGGGCCCTTGAACGGTATATCCGTCTCGCCATGCCGCACTATCCCGATAAAAGATGACTGGCCAGCCCGGGCGATATCACCAAGGGGAACCATGGGCTCATAACATAGCCCACAGTGCCTCCTATCCTGGTCATACAAACGGTACACCGCCTGTTGGCCGGTGGCGTGACTCTGGCCCAGGACACAGAGATATTCCGACCTGGCTCCCCTCAGAAAAGCAGTCACGGGCACGACAAACGCTTTGAACTGGAGGATATTGGGGCCATAATCCGTCAGCGCGCTGACTGAGTCACTCCCAGCGGCATCTCCAATCCTCATCACGGACTGATTGGCTTCGTCATCTTCTCTTACCCCTCGACCCGCAACCCTAAGTACCTTCCCGCCATGAACCACCTTGAACCCATCAACGACCAACGAGACAGGTAAAGGCCTCTTGTCCTCGTCCTCACCAAACATCCGATAGTCGACGGGCCCGACAAACCCAGCCCATGACCACCCCGGACACCTCCCATTGCTGTCCGTGGCCGCCAGCAGGTCACGCAATCCTGCCACCGCCTCTTCCCGCCGTTGCAGCGGATTGACAGGCGTCCACAACAGCGCAAGGTCAAGGAACGCCCCGGGTAGCCCACAAAGCGCCACCGCCCCCGGCAAGTGCTGCGTGATAACAGCAAAGACACCCGCGAATGCATTGAGCACATCCCCCAGAAAGGTCAGTTTCCTGGGCGAGTACCCCGCCACCAGGCCCTTGTAGACGCCAAATACCACGCGGAGCAGCGCCTCGTCGTTACCTGCCGTGCCGATTCGGTTGTTCACTAAAACCCGGCCATCCAGCCGTTGGAGCTCGTGCAGGGGGTTGTTGAGGAGACTCAGCGCCGGCGTGGCGGGGGACGTAGCTTGACCCGTCTCGCAGAGCAGAATGTCCCTGTGGCAGTGGAAGTAGATGGCGTTGTGTGTGATGTAGATGCACCGCGCCGACAGGAGACGCTCTTGAAACGTCCAACCTCGTGTGTTCCATGTGGACGAGTCCATGGCCAGGGTGAGCGGGGAGGGGGATGCGGTGATCTGGACTTGTTCGATATGGCTGCTACAAGGGTTGAGTTCAAGGGTTGCGGAACGGTCCGAGATGGAGATTGTCTCTGTGTTAAGCGGGGTGCGAGTGCCGGGCCGGATGCCGGGGATGCCGGACGCCGCGTCAGAACCGGGAATAATGATGATGGTGGCGAAGGCGCGTGAGTAGACTCTGTCCATCTGCTGGATGTTTTGACGTTTAGTCAGGTCGTCGTCTTGAACAATGCACAGTGCGTCAACCCACAGGAAACGCTCGCCAAGGGTATTAACCAAGGCCACGGCGTCGGTGACGGTTTGCGGGAGCGGGGAGTCGCGGTCAGATCGGAGCCCGCCTTTCATCAGACGGGAGGCCAGGTTCGATTTGATGGTTTCGGACATGGGCGCATTGCCCCATACGTGGCTGAGAGCAAAGTACTTGACCGCAGATGTTGCCCGGACCAGACACTCGTCGATTACGTCTATAAATAGCATGTCGATGGGGGAAGCGAGACGACTTGCTAGCGCTTGTCCGTTGCATTGTCGGCCGTGATTGTTGTCACACTCCCGGAGGGCGCGTTTCAAATACTCTATGGGTAGTTCTTGATACCGGTTCAGCGTGTCCGGTCTTAGTATGGTCAAAGCTCCGACCTCTTTCAAGCCATATGACACCCGCAAAATTTCCTCTCCGTTGTCGAGATGGGTTGGTTCGATACTGATGCCCTGGATTTCGGGATCAATGGCAGCGAGCCTAGGATGGAGCCCCTTCACCTTGTTATCAATGATGAGACTAAGCAGGAGGCAGCACACCGCGCAGGAATGCCTCATGCAGAGCTGTTCGTAGTTCCCATACGGTATAAATTGGACCCGCGAATTCCACTTCCAACCACATTTCGACGACGGCTCAAGCACCCGGAGCTTTCGGCAGGCTCGGCAGAGGCGCGGGTTTGGATAACCCCGTCCTTGTGCTCCCTTCTCGCGGGCTTGTCGTTCAAGTTGGATCTCTCGATTGATGAACTGATCGGTCGGCAGGGGCGTCATATCAGTATAGCCAAATACCTTCTGCACTACGGCTGGCATTTCGACGATAGACTTCTTGGTGGTGGCATCACCAACAAGCGCGCGACTCCCAAACTCGGTGGTGTACTCGGCCGGAGCCCACGGCTTCTTACCCTTGCTAGATTCCTCGGTAGTTCTGGCCTTGGCAACTTTGTCTCTCACCCGTTGCTCGAGCTCGTCTTCCTCTAGATCCTCGGAGGCCTCGATTGCATCGGCATACACCATGATCATGTGCTTTTGTTGGTTCCACAGCGTGACGGATGCATTGGGAATCCCAGTCGTCTGGCAGGCGGTGCGAAAGTACCTCTGTAGCCTCTCGCATGCCGACTTTCGGATTCTGTTGTCCTTGGTGGCCCTCGAGATCTTCCCTAAATACCTGGCAAGCGAGATGGCAGCAATGCCCGGTCCCCGGGGTCCGCTGTCCGCGTTCTCCACTACGGCGAGTAGGTGATCAAGCTCGCTAGTCAATGTATACCGGCGGGTGAGCAGAGTGCCGTAGCGCCTATTGTTAATGCCCCGTCGGGTATAGTCTCCTTTGGGCATGGTGGTGATTAGCTCACTGGCTGTTCGAATCAACGACTCCAACTCATCGATCTCGCTAGTTTTATCTGCCAAAGTCTGCGCATATCTTAAATATCTCGACAGTTCCGGGCCCCTGGACGGATGAGTTGGAGGTCTCCAGCGTATCCGTGTTTCGGTGAGAGAAAGGGCTTTGAGAAGGTCGTCTAGGTCGCCCTTCTTGTCGTACCTATCAGCATACATACCGGGGAGTCGTTCAAAGATCTCCGCAAAGTTGCCATTCAAGATGGTTTCCACCGAGCGGTGTCGCATCATCTCTGCAAGCGCGAATTCACCACAGCAGATGGCGTTATCCAGGTCGTCTAACCTTCCTGTATCTTCTGATCTGGAATACATTATGGCGCTACGTTGTAAGAGTGCGGCCGCATAAGATGGGCTGTCTGGCTGGGACTCTTGAATTAGTTGGTCCAAGAGGCGCATTACTTCGTCATTGTCTGCATCATTGCGACGCGTCTTGAACCGGTTCCACAGCCTAGCAGTCAAGTTCGAAAGACCTGGTGCGTAAAATTTGCTGTCCTTTGGGGCTATGGAGATCAATTCTCGCCCAGTGGCAATTGCGTCATCTAGGTCGTGGTCGCGATGAAGGTGCTGGAAGCGGCTTGATTGCGAGCATCCCAAGCCATTGAGCATCTTGAGGTATACGTCCTTGTTGTTGTCTGGAAAGCCCATGCTGACAGCCTCGTTTTTAGCTCGAAGGCTCAGCTCGACAGCCTCATCTAGCAAAGCTGGAGCGTTGGTGATTTTGAACTGGGACACTCGCATGTTAGACAAGTCATCGAGGTATCCAGGTAAGTCGGGGGATGTGTCCGGCAGCCGGCGCAGGATAGTCTCGAGCTGATCTATTGCACCAAAGAGATCGGCGGGGTCCTGCAAGACTCGAAAATTGTCCCAGAGCTCTCGGAGGAGGCTTGCTCGCATCTCGATTTCCTGATCGGATGCTACCTGGTCTAACGAAATCTTGGTGGAGAGCAGGTCCAATCGGGAAGCTGTACGCTGCTTCATCACTTGACGCCAGTCGTTAAGCGAGTCGCTTACAACTGAACTGTGGTCTTCATTCATTCTCGACGTATGATGCTTTGGTAGGAGTGGTGGGATTGTAGTAGCGTTATGTTATGTTAACGCAAGGCTACGGATGATGTGTTGGTTCAAGAGGTGAAGTTGGAGCTGAAATTCCTGGAAATGGTTGGCATCAACGGAGGTCACGTGTAATCAGGCTTGCAGTCGCACTGTGCTTGTCTCACTACATACTGTACCGTACCTTAGTACGTCCGTACTCGTCAGGGCTTCATAATCGACCTGCCCTCTACGAAAGTAGTACCTTTCGGGGCCAAAAGGCAGCTTTGGTAAAGGCACAATTATAGGGGCTACACCGCGATAGTGCACGCAGGTGCCATAGGGTGCTCCGCTCTTTCAAGGTTTCCCCGTTTCGGCGCTTACAGCACCTATCCCAAAGATCTCAACGTCTTCGGTTTGTGAGCGTTCGGGCACTGCTTGGCGAACCTAGGCGCTATCAAAGATACTTACAATGCGATAGGTACTAGTACTATGAACTCAAAGGGGCTCCAAGACTACCTACCTTAGGTACCTAAGGTATATTATATACGGAGGTTGGGGCCAAAAGTTATCACCACCCTCCTCTTGCCAAGACTGCCAACGCTCCCAAGACAGTAAGGTTCGCACAGAGCAGTAAGCCACCCACTGTAAGCCACTATAGTCAACCTACTTAGAGGCCAATCACTGCGTCAATTACAGGGCCATTACCGGGCCACTCCAGTGCCCACTTGCACTGTGACCTGATTCTCGGTATGGAAAATACAGTACGTTTCTCTTCCTCTAGTTTTTCACACGTTGATAGGCTTGGCACCAGCCCTAACGTGGTGATAACTTTTGGCCCCAACCTCCGTAGTCTAGATGCGCCATCTTAACAATAAAAGTGTATAAATACCTTTTGACTCTATGAGTCTAACCTTTAGATACCTATATAGTATTTAACCCTCAAATGTGTCGGCTGTGTTGCGTTGGGCTGAGAGAGATGTCTGGTGGCATAACTCTAAATGTGGGCGAGACGTCGTAACGCAGGGCCAGTGGTAGGTAAAGACCTGCTGTGGTAAAGAACTGCATGGTGACGTTACAGTCACCCGAAAATCAAAAAGGGGCCAACCCGATGTCCCCGTCACTCGGCTTGACAGTGCGACCTGCCAGGCGATCATTTATCAACAGAGCTAACGCGTCGTGGATCCCCTCCCCGATTGCCGGTCTTCGTCTCACACAAACGGAGCAAAGGTGCAAGTAGGTGCCACGAACGGTGCCTCGTGGTGCTTAGGTACCTACCTATTCTTGGTATTGATCGATCTTCTAGAGTCGTGTAGGCAGTCCGTTCGATGGGGTAGCTTGTGGTTGTTGGAGTGTCCAGCGAATCGTGACAAGATCGTGGGATTGTCCTGGCACCTGCCATACCCTACTCTGTGTACGAGACTCCGTTCACCGTTGGCGCCTAACGGCAGTGATGCAACTATAGGTAGGTACGTACGACTCCTGGCCTCCTTTGGGCCTCCAGGGCAGTCGTCTGCTCTCTGAACGATGTTCGGACCCAGTGTACCAAGTACTGACTTGAGACTAACTGACATCACTGCCTGCTTTCAAAAGTTTCATCAACAAAATCCAAATATCCTCCTCCCCATTTGTTCAAGGAGTCAACCAAAACGGCCCACATTGGCTCCAAGGAAGTGCCCAGCAGTAAGTGGAGATAGCTGCGATTCGGCGAATAGAGTTGATTTGAGGCTTTGTTGACTATCTATGTCTCAGACTAGTACACACTTGACATCATTAACGACCCAGCCAGTCCAGTGCCAACTAGAAGCAGTACCTTAGTTTTCTGATGACAGCATCCGCAAGTAAAATTTGAAACCTCTCGAGATGTTTGCTCGCGTCGGCACGCCTGACGACAGGCAGATGCTCAGCCGCTTGCATCACCGAGCCCCTGAGACAAAGTACCACATCGAGCGGGTCTGGTTCAGAGTTCAGACTGTCATCACGGCAAGTATCTCCGTTCAAGTCAATGGAGACCCGTAGTTGACGACATTGAAGATCATCGTGCGTCAAACGCTGTGGAGTAGGAGATAGATAGCCACGTATAAATAGAGCCAAAACACAGGCATGGACATCCTCGTTGGAGTAAGAACACCCCATGTAGCAATCCAGCCCTACACGCACATGACATGCATCCCAGTGAATTTTCCCTTGACGCCGAGCACATCATCCCCTTGCTAGCAATCACGACAACCCTGATCAGGAAATGTGTACGATGGACGACCATACTTCAGAGCTCCTCGACATCAGCCAGTTCGACACGCAGGGCTTCTGTCCAGGATATCCCTTGCGCAGGCACCGATACGAGAGCCTGGCGAACTCTGGATGTTACGAAGCCAGGCAGGACTGGATACACTATGTCGGACCGGCCGAGGAATTTGGGAGCTGCGATCCGACCAACGGCAACTTCACAGCGCTGGTCTTACCACTGACTAAACCGGAGAGACTGCACCTCGTTGCGTACATTATCGAGTGCGAGTTCATTAGAGTCCTTTATCCGTGTTGAACTGAAAGCGCCCACTAACTGAATCGAATAGATGCCTTCCTACATGATAATGTCGTCGAAGCAGTGATGCCGGACTCGGTGAGCCCTCCGCTTAAACTCCTCCCCTCTTGAGACAAGTGTTAACTCTGCCAGTCTACGAATAACGGGGACGACTTCCACCTTGGAGAAGCCGAGAAACGGCAACGCAATGTCCGAATGGGGCGAAAGCAGATCCAAGCCAAGATGATGTATCAACTCGCCCGTACGGACAAACGATGCGCGGAACGAGTGAAACGGGTTTGGAAGACCATGCTGTCAACGACCTTGAAGCACAAATCCGACTCCTTTGCATCGCTCGAGGAATACCTGAATTATAGAATTATCGATACTGGAGGCTAGTAAGTGACAACCATGCCTGTAATCACCAGCCTTCACCCTGGCTGACCAACCCAGTTGGGTCGAGTCAGTCATGCTCTTTGGAATGGGCATGACTCTGACCGAGGAAGAGGACGCCCAGCTCGCCGAGGTAGTCCGGCCATGCTACGCCTCCCTGGCATTAGCAAACGACTACTTTTCCTTTGACCGCGAATGGGAAGAGGCTCAGAACGGCGGCCCACCTCCTACCAATGCCGTGTGGCTGTACATGCGGTGGAACGGCATCCCTATGCCGGCGGCTAAGAAACTCGTGAGGGAAGCATCCAACCGTTACGAGGCAAGATTCCTCGAGCTCTGCGACTCGTTCAGGCGCAACAACCCCCTCTACTCGGAGAAGCTGGATAAATACCTGCGGGGCCTGGCTTACCAAATCAGCGGTAATGTGGTCTGGAGCTTGACCTGCCCAAGATACCACCCAGAGTTTCGCTATGATCCGAATGCTGGGATGGAGGATTTACTCACAGCCCAGGCGAGGGGTGATGGAGGCGCTGTGTCGGGCGGGGAAGCTGATTACACCGCGGAGCATCGCCAGTCCATCATCTCACTGGAGTCCCAGCACACGGCGTCCTCGACACGCTACTCGGCATCAGATTGGCAGTCTTCGAGATCCTCATCTTTCTCTGAAATTTCGGTGGATGGAGAGGATGGAGAGACACATGCAGTCAAACTGCCAGCTGAGCAAGGGTTGGATACCAAGGTATGATGGGACAACGAGTCTCTTGTGTGGTATTCGGCTCCCAAGCTGACCATTTTTGCAGCATGTTGCCGCCCCATTTGACTATGTCGCCTCACTACCTTCAAAAGGAGTAAGGACAACACTCATAGATGCCCTCAATCTCTGGTGTGACCTCCCTGATACCACGCTCGCCGGCATAAAGGAGGTCGTCGACAAGCTGCATACAGCGTCATTAATGTGAGCCTCGCCCAGCCTCACAACCCGGCCCGGCCAATGGATTGCTGATCATTTGCCAGGTTCGACGACATCGAAGATGGCTCAGAGCTCCGTCGTGGCAACCCTGCTGCCCACGCAGTCTATGGTGTGCCCCAGACCATCAACGCTGCAAGCTTTGCTATTGTGGATGCCGTAAGCAAGGCTCAGGATATACCAGTGACCGGAGCTGTGGACATTGTTCTAGGTAAGTGTGTGCTAGCCAACTGGCTCCCCGTGCTGAGCGCCAACATTGAAGCCATTCGAAACTGACATGAACCTCATGAAGAGCAACTCCGGGACCTCCACATCGGCCAGAGCTACGATATCCACTGGACTCGGCATTCATCATGCCCGTCGGAGACAGAGTATCTGGAGATGGTTGCAAAGAGTATGTACAATCACCTGTTACTGTCTACTGAGCCTGTGTGCAGTCTGCTGACATTGAGGGACAGAAACCGGTGGATTGTTTAAACTTATCTCGCGCCTGATGACGACAGGGCTTCCTGACATGTAGGGCGATCTCCTGACAACCCTTTACCGAACCAAGACAAGAAAGCTAATACGCACCCAGCACAAAATCAACGATAGATGATCTTGTCACCCAGCTTGGCATCTATTTCCAAATCCGAGACGACTTTAAGAACCTCAACTCAGACGAAGTGAGTTCCCTTCATAAACTTATCTGAATCCCAATTCCCGAGGAACTAACACACCATGACTTTCAGTACGCGAGTCAAAAGGGATTCTGCGAAGACCTCGACGAAGGAAAGTTCTCCTTCCCGCTTGTCCACTATCTGACAAAGGGACAAGAATCTCCTCCATTCATGCTGCGAGAAATCATGCAGCAAAGACGAGAGAGCAAAGGCTTGAATGTACCGTCAAAGATGCTCGCTCTCCAGCAGTTGAAGAAATCGGGAAGCCTCGAGTACACGCACAGGACACTGAAACGGCTGGAAGTCCAAATCAATCAAATCATTGGGCGCCTTGAGAGGATCACAGGGAAAGATAACTGGGTTTTGAGGTTATGCATGGGGGAACTGACAGTTTAGTTACTACGCAACCGCTAGGCTCATGTGCCATATGTACTATTAGTTCGATGTGAGCATGTAATACACCTACTACTAGTCTAGAGCCATAGAATGTTCCTACCATGACACTATGTGAAACTTCTGCCTCTCCGTAGTATTGTTCGCTTGAAAGCGGCGTAAGACTCCATACCTACGATTCGGAAACGCGTATACCATGAATCGGATTTAACGGGGCTGGGAGCTCCACAGCACTGGCATTATGGCGTCAATCACCCGGAGTTTAGATCTTGTATTACAAACAAAGTTGCTCCTTGGCGATCTTTCCGGCGGACCGGCCCGGGGACACGAGTCACACGACAGGCCACGGTAGGGCTTGACCCCCTGGCAAGTGCAACGCCGGATGGTTTTGCCTCGCATTCGCTTGCTTATCCCTTCTCGCTCTCACCAGTACCACAGGATGTGGGGTAGGACTCGGAGTTACACTAGTGCTGAGCAATGCGGTACGGAGGACTCATAACTTCACCGTTGAATACCACGGAGTTAACACGGCTATTAGTAAGATTTACTAAGGTATCGATGTATGGCTTGAGATAGCTACGTACAGCACCGTCCAGTCCAGTTTACAGCCGTCCCTGCTACGGAGTACTAGACGCTGTAATGCCTTAACGGTTATATATAAGGTAGGTACCAAGCAACAACAACATCCCGTCTCCAAACCGCAGTTCCAACATCTGCGCCAAGTCGGAAAACGTGCAGACTCCTACAGCAGATCTCTACAGACACCATAACCATGACTAAGACACACCTTGCAGCGATCCTCCCCCAAAAGGGCGGCCCCTTCGTGGTCGGAGAGCGCCCGACGCCCGAGCCGGGCTCGAACGAAGTCCTGATCGAGATCAAAGCCGTCGCTCTCAACCCAGTCGACTACAACCAGCGCACACTCGGGGTGCCCCCTGTCCCGGTGTACCCGGCCGTGATCGGACAGGACGCGGCCGGGGTGGTCGCCAAGCTCGGCCCCGGCGTGGCCTCCACCTCCCCGGAACTTAAACCCGGAACCCGCGTCCTGGCGCTCGCAACATCCTTCTACCGCGACGGCCTCCCCGACTACGGCGCCTTCCAGCAATTCGCCCTCGCCCAGTCCGAACTCGTCATCCCGCTCCCCGACTCCCTCTCCTTCGAGCAAGGCGCCATCATGCCCCTGGCCGTCACCACCGCCTGGAACGCCTGGACAACAATCAACATCCCGCTCAACACCCGCTTCACCCCGCAGGACAACCAAGCCGTACTAATCTGGGGCGGGGCGAGCAGCTGCGGGACCTTTGCAATCCAAACCGCCAAAACCCTCGGCTTCACCCGCATTTACACGACCGCCAGCCCCAAACACCACGCCTACCTCAAATCCCTCGGGGCCCACGCCGTGTTTGACTACCACTCCCCCACCGTCGTCTCACAAATCGTCAACGCAGTCAAACACGACGGTGTCATTCTCCGCACAGCACATTGCGTTGTCAACGGGGGTCTGCAGCCAACGCTGGACGTGCTCAAGGAAACGAAAGGTGATGCGAAGGCAAAGGTGGTTTACTCGCCGCCTCTGCCGCCCGACCACCCCACGCTGGAGAATACAGAGATCAGGATGAACTGGCCGCCTTTGGATCCCGTGGAGAGGGACAGGCACTTCTACGAGTGCTTTCACGGGTGGCTGAAGGACGGGCTGCGGTCGGGCTCGGTGGTTCCCAGTCCGGCGAACATCCAGGTTGAAGGGGGCGGTTTGGAAGGGTTGAATTCGGCGTTGGAGAAGTGGAATGCTGGTGTTAGTGGGACGAAGATTGTTGTGCCGCTTTAACGCATGATGTCACGGTGTTGTCACGCAAGGAGGTTAAGTTACCTAGGTACATGTGTCGTTGCCATTGGGGAGCGGCATGAAGAAGGTGCTTGCTTGCAAGATTGTAGACATGAGCATGATATTGCTTGCGTGAGGAACAAGAACAGTCCCTCACTGAAGGTGCTGAGCCGCCTAACTACTGATATAGTAATCTACCTAGTGCTGTAGAAGCTGTGTGTGTGTCAGGACCTGGGGCTTAAGGCCTCAGGTCCGTGTAGCATTCTGTCCAGACCCACCCCGGAGTCGCCGTACGGTCGTCAGGCGGCACTTGAGGAGCCTCCGCCCGTTAGGTTCCACAAGACTCGAGCACGTCGCTCTCCCTGGCCTGGGTGGACTTCCTCCCGTCGAGCGTCAATTGAAGCCGGCACAGGACATCTGCCTCCTGTCCCCGTTCCGGATGTACAGGCAGTCTATGAATGTCAGTTTCGGTTTCGCGTGAAGTAGGTATATTAGTAGTTAGAAAGAAATGCTTACTGCCGTGGTATTGTCCGCCATTACTGTTAGTCCAGTAAGTGCACCGAGTTCCGGCCTCGCGGGCCACAGGCTGGCCCTGCCAGGTGCAAGACTCGTGGGCACGGATGGTATCGCCATGGTAATTGACATCCCACCAGTTATCGTTGGCAACCCAGACCCCATTGGCGTCCTTGGTCCAAGGCTCCGGCGCCGGGGCCGGGGCCGCGTGTGTGCCAGTGGCGAAGGCAAGAACAGCGGCGAGAAAAGCTGTGGTGAACTGCATTTTAATGATGTTGACAGCTGGGGGCTGGTGGTAGCTCTAGTAGGTGGATAGGCTTGTGGTTGTTCAGAGGAGTGAGAGATGGATGAAGAAATTTTTCACTTCGCAGGAAAACGTTGAGCCTTCTTATACAAGAGGTCGAAGCACGGTCTTCATCTTCGCGGTGTTATCGTTCGATGAGTAAGAGAGTTCGAGTCCGATCCAGACGGGACGGTAAACATTCGCCTTTCATGCCGAACTAAGCCTCGAAGGAGGAGCATGAGTACGATTCAGGCGTCAATAATTATTAGTCAGAGTCACCCTGAGGGAGTTGCAGCTTACGTCCTATGGCCTCTGGCCCCCTGATGATACGTCGTTGACTTATCGGGTAGTGTAAAGTGATGTTTATCTTCAGCTCAAACTCTAAGAGGTAGTAGAACTGATCTCCACGGCTGCATTTGAGTCTGGCGATTTATGAGTCCGACCCGCGTGTTGTATCCAATATGATGACATCCGAGCTTTGCCGCCACGTAGTCCGAGCCGTGGTAGTACTAGTATGCAGGCTGGGATCCGATCTCGAGCCGATCTGACGGCCGAGTCCGACTGTAGACCTTCCGACCCATTTGGGAGAATTTGAAAGAGTCCGAAGATCACACAAATACGACTTCCAATGCCACCTCTGATCATAAGAGCAGTCGCTTTCACAGTCCGATAAGGATACCGATCGGTATGGTAAGCCCGCTAGCTGCAAAACCTACAGTAGGATACCACCCCTGAGTAGGTAAACAACGTGATTTGAAAGAACATACAGTCTGACCACAACTTACACAATGCACCCCAAGGCTGTTGAAGAACGCTAGACATCCATTAGGCGCATCCCAAGTCGGGAAACCCTTGACCGGCGTCTTCAGCTGGCCCCCTAACATACATATATAGTCTCGCACTTACATGCACACGCATAGGCATCCCTCACCCCTCCGAGCGACCTTGCGCTCCCGATCTGCTCGACGTGCCCTGGTAGGCCGAGGATCAGCCAAGGCCTGACGATTTCTTCTCTCGCCGCCCCCTCCACGATTGCTGACGGCAGGAAGACTGGTAGCACTCTCACCGGCCCCGGGCCCTCCACGATTGCGGATGGTAGGAGCACTGGTAGCACTCGCCGAACTCGCGCCGCCCACGGGAGGCAGAGTGTCCCTCACCGCAAAGACTCCAAACGGAACCGCCGAGGGATGTTCTGCTTCCCGCTGTGCGACCGAGGCCAAACCGCTGTTGTCAACAGTCTTGTCCAGCGACGGTAGTGGATCCCGCCGCCGTAGTCGCTCCTCTGGCTTGAGACGCGGTAATGACGGCAGGCCGGATGCCTCCCTGACGATGTCGAAATCCACGATTTTCACCCGCCACACTTGGATGGGCTTGTCGTTCCATACGTCTCGGTGTCGGTCAGGGTCTCGTTCGACCGTCTGTGCGATGCGACCTCCGGGGGCGACGTTGATCTCCTTATTTTGCTCTTTCCAGTCGCGGGAGCCTTCTTTGTACCGCTCACGTGCACGCCTCCGAGTCGTCTCATCCGGGACTGACAACTCAAATTCAATCCTAGCACGTTCCCTCCTTCTCCTGGACCGCTGGGCAGCTTCAGCTTCCATCTTTAGTCTGTCCTGGGCCTCGGCTTCCATCTTTAACCTGGACTCGGCGCTGTGTCTGCCACTGGGCCTAGGTTCGAAGGACGCCCCTATACCCGGGTGCCCGTGCCCGGGGTTTGCTGGCCTCCTGGGTATACCAGGCCCCATGGGTATGCGCCCGCGAGCCTGGAATTCCACCTTCGGCCCCCAGCTCTGAATCTCATCAAGATTCCATTTGGACCAGCTGATTCCACTACTAGGGAATGTTATCCCATAACGGCTTTGCGGGGTTCTAGGGCGTCCCAGCATCGTCTCCAGCTGCTTTAGCTCCTTCATAGCGTCCTCCACTCGCTGAGCTAGTTCTTTTCCCTTTTCCAGCTGGTTAGTCGCAGTTGTAAGAAAGTCAGCCGACCTAAACTTCGCTGTGTCGAGATCTTCTTTCATCTTGTCTAGTCTAGCCTTTTCTTTGTTTATTTTCCTCAGCATTTCTACTATTCCTCCTTCGGCTCTCGCAGTAGCCTTTTTGACTGGGTCGTCTCCGGCAGTAGTCAACACAAGTGATGATGCCTGTATCCCAGTTCAGGGACAGGATGAGGTTAGCCAGTTGAACCATTGGAGAATACTAGTAGATACATGTAGTACAAGTAGAAAGGGGCATATGCGCACCATTTCGATTCCGTATTCGGAGAGCGTTTTGTCTGTAGAGAGAGATGTTAGCTAATTCAACCTTCCCTAAATCTTGGAAGATATGGCGATCCGAGGTTCAAGTTTTCACTCACGGTCTGAGACATCTTCCCCCAGGAATGCCAGCTCCTGCTTCAACCCCGAAACGCCCAAGACGTCCTGGATGCACGCTTTCAAATGCCAAATCGGGTCTGTTTCCCTCAGGTTGCCTACGATGTGATTTGTGTTTTTGGCAGTGCGAACTATTACGAAAAATCCATGGCCTGTGTTTTGGATGGGAGTAGGTCTCGCCTTGCAGTATCGCAGCCTATTCTGGTCGTCGAGGTGAATCCTAGAATGCATGAGCAGAAGCGTCTTCAGTTTTGATGAAATTGAAGGCTGAGGAGAGGGGGAGCTACCCGCGCGGTGTAAACACCTGGATCTCAAACTCTCCAGTATCTTCAAGTCTCTTTACCTGGTTGGCTATCGAGTGTCTGCGAGTGATGTGAGCCTCTGTCAGCAACACCGTCCATAAACATGAATGCTACTCGTCGTGGGAGGAAAAACTCAGGCTGCTAACCCCGTTCCTGATGGAAGAGCTACAAACTGGCGTACACGGTTGTCACCAATATACACGCCATCGACCCATTCCTGGAGGTCCGACACATAATAATCCTGTTGGCCATGTTGAGAGACGGGATTTGCGACATTAACTGCGCCTACGAGGATCTTCACTTTGAATCGATGAGGTGACGTGATATGAACCGCCAACGCGTCGGTTTCTATTGTCGATAAGGTATACGATACCGCCATTATTAGCCAGGACTCTCCGTCAACATTCAGGGCTATGGGCTACCGGCTAAGGAACCAACTCACGGCGGACGGCTGCCTCATATATTCCTTTCTTCCTCGGCAGCAATGGTAGCGAGCCGAGACGGGTGACCTTGTTGGTCACAGGTTGGAGCTCCGGATCAATGGCATCCAAGACCCTCTCCGTGCGGTAAATGGCAACGTCGAGCTCTGATTCCTCCCCAATAGTCAGGGAGCGAGGAAAGCTTTTATGCCTTCTTCCATCCCTCTCTTTCGATGTTCGTTGCGGCGCCATTGGAACGAAGTACTAGGTACCTACTATACGTCGTATACGAGTAGTAATCAAGCCGAATGCGAGGTGAAGTCCAAAATGTTTCGAATGAGTTCGCCAAAAAAGGGTCTTGGTTGTCGTGAAATGTCCTTAGCTCAAGCATAAGGTAATAATCTCGCCGAGGTTGACACGACATGCACGTTGTATTTTAGTCGGGTCTAAATAACCTGGAAATCTCACCATTTCCCCGCAGATCTTTGACACCATTCCGTCAAGCTTAGCCACGATAGTAAGCTGCTGCTCAGTGATTGCCTCCGAGCCTCGTCTCAAATGTAACCCACCTTCTCGCCATTCCGGCAACTTGCATCCCATAGGGCCCTAGCACCCAATCAGGTCGTCAAGATACACCATTTAACCCTCCCATAGCCTCAATGTGCCAAGGAAACAATTGAAGCGACTCAGCCCCGATCGAAGGCAGCTAAAAGCTAAGCACGGGAAGTACAACATCCTTGGACATTACTAACAGTAACGGCGATATTACTCTGTACTGGTAGGGTACACCCAACAGCAACTAGCTGGAACAACGTACATGACATGGAGATAAACTAAATGGATATCAGTACTACTAGTAGTACTCTCTACGTGTGATAGCTACCGTGAAGAGCCTCAGAAGAGGTAGCAATGGAATCCGACAGCCCTCTCTCCACAACAGCCAACATCACGGGCATCCTGACGTTCGCCTACGCCATCCTCGCCTCATGTCTTTTATTCCTCGCCAGCGTCCGCACCGCCGACAGCGAGATGCAGCACCTCCTATCCCAGACCCGCCAGACAAGCCGGCACATCGAGACGCTGAGCAACTACTTCCAAGACCAGGACCTGGTGGCCGACATCGACCTGGCCCCGATGCGGGGTCCGATAAAGGCCGCGCTCAGGGACTGGCGCAAGACCAACCAGGCCCTGACCGCGCAGATTGCAAAACTCAATGACATGGGTCCCGGTATCAGGCGGCGGGTTGCGTGGTGGTATTGGCAGAACGACATCCTCGCGGGCATGGCCAAGTTGAGGAGCGAAAAGGATGATTTTTCGGCGTTGTTGCTGACTTATTTGTCGAGGTTAGTGGTGCTCTTTGGATGTTTCTAGGTTACCTGTTGTTCTACCTAAGTTCCACACTGACTGCTAAGGTCCCTTGTAGAAAGATTATTACTCAGGAGCATCACCTGTGGAGATTGGAGAGGCTGGTTCAGGTTACAGATGAGCAGAGGGACACTGATAGGGAAGGGAAAAGCTAGGAGAGTGTGAGATTTTTTCGTCTCTCCGAAAGGGTCCTCTATGAAATACATCTTCTCTACATACCTACCTACCTACCTAGAAGAAGGAATGCGGAAGTCCCACGCCCGCTTTCACTGTCATTATTTGACACTTTGAGGGCAACAACCTGATTCGAACGAAATCCTCCTAGGTATGCATGTGGTCGCCTGTATCTCTAACCGTCTAACGTATAATGCATCACTGCCGTGGTCTAGATGGGTTTGTCAACGATTCTCCTCGTTGACTGTTAACCAGCCGGAAACTAGCGACGGCCTTGGTGCATGCGGTTACACCGGGAGTTCACGTATACATAGCGAGGGTTCAGCCATTTTTTGTAACGCCCGTCGCCGCACCTACGGCATCCCAGAACAAATTCGCTCCCTCCTTCCTCGGTACAACCGCAACGGTATATGTAAATTGTTTCTTGGTAATAGCACATTGTTGCTTGGTGTTGATAACTCGCTCTTCAGGGTCACGAGTAGATCGATGGGTACTAGAATACTGCTACTACTACTAGTAGTAGTAGGAAGGTTAGATAAGGTATAACGTTACTCTTGTTTAAAAGTCGTATCCACCAAATGAGAGCACTACTTTGCAGGGAGTTTTAGACGGTCTCAATACCAGTCGATAAGATACGGGTCGAGTATTCACTTCGATTCTCCCGTCGGCAATAGCGTATACAAAGGAGTTACCACAAGCAGCCTGAAGAGTTGAAGCTGATACCCGAGGTTATATAGGTCTTATAACATGAATCCTCAGTAAGAATGACACTTGACATTTTAGTACAGGCCATGTAGCTATTGGCGTGGATCTAGCCACGGTAACTCTCTGAGGGTTCCATCTTATCTAAGGTAGGTGCTGTGGGAAATCAGGCAAGCTATTTTGCTGAGAGAAGAATACGGCTGACCGTATGTCTGGGGGGATGTGCCAATGTGTATGTAGCCGGTGAGGGTATCTGCCCCTGCTGGTAAATGGCACATTGTAGTACGCAAGAGCCCCAAGAGGCTCTAAACCCTACCGACATTGCCATACTTGTAGGAGCAGAGGGATGAGTACCTAGGGATTTGGTATCTTGGGTCCTCGTATAATGAGACTGGACTCGGAGCAACCAAGGAGATTATACTTCAAGTACCGTAATGACATTTCATACTAATGAGCGCAGGATAATAGTAACTATGTTAAGATTCAGGGGCAGAGACCACACTGTAGGTACCCAGGAGTATCACCTGTGAGATTGGAGGGGCTGGTTACAAGTGAGCGTTTTCATAGCCACTTCACCACCTGGAATCTAGAACAGATATACAAATGCATCGCTATATTCTGGATACCTAGGTAGGTATGTATCAGACGATTTTTCTCGTTAATCGCCAACTCGCCATGAACTTCTAGCACCGCCGGACGTGGCGGCTGCACGGGTAGTCGAACTCAACATAGCGAGGATTACACCCGTGGCCATTCCTATAGCATGGCCGTACCTTTCGGCTCCCTCCTTCCTCGATACAACCACATAGGTATATGTAGATTGTTTCCCGGTAGTAGCACATTGTGGTTACTTGGTGTTTATGATTCGGTCACCAGCGTTAGTACGGTTAGTTGTATAGGTACCACTAGAATCCCAGTGGACGTCATGTTAGCTTCTTCTTTAGGTACTTATACTATTCGCCAAAAGCAACCCACACATAATTGCAAGCACCTACATATCATCGAGAAACGAGAGCACTCAAAATCGTGCAAGGTTTGGTGGTTTGAGGGATATTGATACCTGTCGAGGGAGTGCGGTATTTCTTGACTTCGTGCTAGCTTATGGAGAAAGTATCATACTAGCAGACCGGAAAATTGAAGATGGTGCAGAGCTTCAGGGGTGTTATAATTCTCAGCAAAGAATGACACTTAGCATTTCAGTCCAGGCCATGTAGCCCTTAGCGTGGATGTAGCCCCGATATCTCAGTGAGATATCCATCCCGCCTAAGGTAGGGTGTTGTGGGAGGTCTCAGGCTAAGCTCTGTTGTTGACGGAGGAAGATGGCTCACCGTATGGCCAGCGGGTTGTGCCGAAGGTACTAATACCTTTGCCACCCCTGACTCAGGGGTGGCAACGGTAAAAGGCTCTCAGGGGCCCTGAGAGTTTTTTTGGACGTCTTCTAATGTTAGGACTCCAGTACCGAAACTTTCCGCTCTTGCCTGAGTCGCCTCCACGGGATAATCTACATAGTAAACATGCCTTTACCTTCACAGCTTGTGTTATTGCTGAGTTGACCGGCGGCCTATCGGAAAGCCATTTGCGGTGAGGCTGGCGGCAAGGTGCCTCGTTGGCTTGGCCGACGTAGAAGGCTGGGGTGGACGTCCTTCAGCCGCCGCCATATTGATATCTACCCGCTTGTGCAACGCGCAAGCTAAACCGAACGGCGCGCCTCCTCTCCAACAAGAGATGCGTTTCTTTGATCTCATTGGGTTATGCTCACCCGAGGAGAAATGGCATGGACAGTCGTTAGTCGTTGCTTACCATGTAACCACGCCTGACGCCTCTTTAACCGCTGCCACATACTTACCTGTGCAAAGCTGCCGCACTCAGCCCCATAGAATTCGTAGGTAAAACGAGGCCTCCAAAAGCACGAGGCATCCAAAATATGAGGCTCATGATGTCATCAGCTACAAACATGAAGCCCGGGCCAGTATGGGCGTGCCTGGCCTCTCGTACCTGTCCTACCCCCCACGCTCCTAGGTAGCCGCCTTCTCACTTCAGCTCCGACGGCTCATAGCTAAAGCAGAAAATGGAGGGAACCTATCTAACTATGGTAGGGCTGGGGCTGAACATGCAATTATATAAGACCTTCTGTCTCACTTCTTGACTTGGAAGTTTGGGATACGGACCGTGAGTACTAGGTACCTAAGGTATTCAGGGCCGACAGAAGCGGGTTTAGCCTTGTATCCAGTCATGAGACCTACTAGACGAGCTCAGATCACCATTATCCTCATTGCATCGGCGGTTAAGGTGCGAGCCGTGTATAAGTGGTCCGAGTGCGAGGAGAGGGTTCGAGCCATTCAGCGAGGTGATCTAACCCTTGGCCACATCGACAACACAACCATCGACCAGTACTTATACTTTGGTCCCGTCGCCGGAGCTACTGCGTCTCTTCCCAGGGAAGATTATTTGACGGTCACTTATGAAGGTGAGGTTATTACCCTCAGCTGTTAGCGCGAACCGCACCCCTGGATAGCCCGGCATGTGAAGCCTTACCTTAGCTTACACAATTTTCCCCTGATTCTTAGGTTGCAAAGTCATATGCGGAGATCCCATCGCCATCAATGAGACCCGCAGTGCATTGGCCCTCGCTAGCAACTGGCTATTCCCGTTGGCCATTGTTCTGAGCCTACCGTGGGAGTCCCTGCACGAACGGAAGCTGTCTAGGACGTTAGTAGCGGTCGTGAACTGGCTTGGGAGCCCCCAGACGTCGTTAACCGCCACAATCTTCAACTTTCGCCAGTTCCGCGAATCCCACCGCCGCGTACTCCGCGAGGTTAACACCGATCAGAGCCACCTGTACAGCGCCGCATATTTTGTCTTGTGCAGCATCAACCAGTTCACGGGATATTCCCTGGTGTCCAAGGGGAACGACGGACCCGAGCCGACACGCATGCTAAGCGTCTTGATGTATGGATTATTCCGCCCAATGTCTCAAGAGCAAGCCCCCGATGTCGAACTCACCGAGCAGTTGCTGCTCGCCTTGGCATTCGAACTACGTATGCTCCGCCGCAAGGGGGTCATCCCAATGCTTGCGGACCTGGGGACATTCATAGTGGCCTTTATATTCTCCGTAGTCCTCGCGTTCGCGGATCTAGATGGCGACAATACCCCGTTCTCGCTAGCCTTCGGGCTTCTGGTTACCTGGGTTCCACTCCTCGTCGTGTTTACCATTGTGGATCGGAACCCCATGTCCTCGGACCGCACCGCGTAAGTGTCAAACCCAAGTTTTGAACGTGCCTCCACAGGAAGAGTGCCTCGCTGACCTAGCACGGTAGTGAACTCATCTCGCGGTGGCTCTACAACGTGGATGCTGTCATGACTTGGGCCGACACTGGGTCCCCTACCCCCACCCCTGAATGGTGGACAACAGCCAGCACCATACCTAAAGCACTGAGAGTCGGCGAATTCATCGGACAGGGCCGGAAGATCGAGTACTGTGGTCTTCCCAAGGCCGTGCTCCACGCAACAAACACTGTGAACTTGCAGAGGGAGACAACAGCAGGGCTTGAGACGTGTGCCCAAGAAGTTGCAAAGGTTCTGGGCCAAGGCAAGACCCTGTCGTGGTACGTCGTGGCGGTGCTGTCATTTCTGCTGGTCTGGACCGCCATCATGAGTGCTTTCGTGCTCCATTTCCATGCGCCAACCGTTGGGCTTGGCTGCCGGACCCTCTCGTATTTGGTTTTTGGTTTTCTAAGTTCAGTGTCCTGGGCAATCCAGTTCTTCAGGACCTTGCCGCCGTGGGCACACTGGGTGTCATATATCTTCAACGGCTTGGCCATTTTGGTGATGACTGAGATCATCATACTTCAGGTAACGTTCCCAGGCATTCTTGGATTGAGATAGATGGCTGGCGTCTTCGTTGAAAGCTAACGAAGTTCTAGCTCACTGGCCTGGCGAACAACTGTTATTGTAGGAGCAGCGCATTGGGCATGCCACTCTGGGGAGGTTATCTCGATTTCAAGGACCCCGGATACTACCTCGAGCATTTTTATGTGATTCATTACTGGACCGGCGCAGCTGTAGTTGGTGGATTGGTCCCAGCAATAGCCTTTGTGACTGCTCTGTTCTGGTGGCTTAAGTGCAAGCACCTGTGGAAGGCAAACGAGCGGGGGACGCAGTACCGAATGTATACTGTCAACGCAGACACAAGATGGCTAGGCCAGTAATGGATACTGCGAATAGAACTCGCTACGCTGCTTCGCTAGTCCCGCCGGATATACACAGCTGCTCCAGATCCGAACATCTCCTCCGGCCCAATGGCTATGGGCCGCTTAAGGTAGTGATCACGAACCATATCGCGAACGCGGGAAGACTCGGGGTCAGTCCTAGTACGAGGTTAGGAGCGACGGCGGCCGTGCGCAGCGATGAGTTCAACTTACATGAAAGCTGGGTTATAAACTTCCCCTGTCGCCTGCCATGAAGCATCAAGTTCGGCTTCGGACTCGACACGATTCCAGATCATGACGGCAGGACGAGCAATGTCGGTGATGATTTGCCTAACGGGGATGTTTGGGTGGAAGGAAATGACGAGGCTTTGATCGTCAACTTTCAAGAAAGCCCGCGGGTCCTCTAGAATTGTAATGCCGGATCTGCCGAGGACTTCCACGTCCGCTTTCGCGTAAAACGGGTCTTGGGCAAAGCATTTGATCTGGGTCTGGCTTTGGGCCCCTGGTTGGCGCTTCGCGATGATGTCCCTCATGGTGAGAATCAGGGCATGTTGGGTAGCCGCTCTTGACCGGTCATCTTTGCCGAGCATGGACGAGCAGGCAAAGGCCACGATGTTATTGATGGTTGGCAGAGGTGCGTTCTCGAACGCGGAGCGCAAACGTCGGCATTCGTCACTATCTTCCCATGCTCTGACTGCTTTATCAAAAACGATCTGAACGTCCTCTGCGGGTTCCTTATCCCATGGGTTGATTATCTCCCCCGTCGAGATTTGGCGAACATCCAAGGGGTAAATGAGACGACACGGGCAGCGAGCCAGGTACGGAGAGAACCAGGAAGGGTCGTCCACGAGGGATAGACGCTGAAACGTCCGATAGTCGAGATGCGGATCCCGCCTGTAGCGAGGGAAGTGTGGATGACCGAGGTTAGCAAACAAGCGCAGCAACTATTGTACAATAGCATGGAACCCAAGGGCGATACTATACATAACAATTTCTTGATCTGGAGATTGAGGGTCGCCTGGGACTCCCAGTCGGACAACGCGCCCAGCCTCCAGCTCGCACTCAACAAACGACCCATCGACTGTTGGGATCCGGATCACATGGGCCTCCGCACCTGTAGCTGGGCGAGGATTGGCCCGGCCATGATCGAGTTGGGAAACGAGGTCCCGAAATATTTGCTTGGAAAAGAATGGCACGCCACGGTCGTAAAGTGAACGTAAGAGCGTGGCATTATCTTGCATCGCACGCATCGTCTCCCCTCGCTCCTCGTCGGTGAAATCAAACTGGTACCGTTCATGCTTGGAGGTGTAGCAGTGGTACCTTACCCGGTCGCCGTGGGAGACGTCAAGTTCCTCTTCACTGAGTTCACTGTCGGAGGCCATATTGTAATGAATTGCCGGGTCAGAATTGGAGAAAGAGGTGAAAAGACCGAAAGAGTTGAGAAAACTGTGCCTTTTGGGACTGGCATGACTGTGGGATTCAATTCCGGTGTGCCTGCCTAAATTCTAGGTTTGGCAGCTTCACCTGTGGGACGCTCGGCAACAGCCCAGTGCAACCCCTGTTGGCTCGTCCGCTTGTCGACTTCGTGAGGCCAATAACTACGATTGGGGCAAGCCCAATATTTCGGCACAAAAACCAAGGCCAAAACCGGTAGAGACATTGGAATTGAGTGCCTTTTATATACAGAATTGTCAACCCACAACTACAGTAACCGGGATCTTAAGAAATACTGTAACTTATAGAAAACAGACAGAGCTATCTAGCTTGAAGAGGCGATTGGATTGATACTTACCTGGTCGGGTAGGTCGCGACTCGCATCCCGCGGTTGTGTTAATCACTGGCCCCTGAGTGGATAGGTACTGTACAAAGGTCGAGCCCGCCGCCGACGGGTATGCCCCTTCCACATTAATACATACGAAGCACAGCAAAGTCCTTCCCCCAAAACCCCCATCCTCGTAAGTCGGGGTAGAAGGGAAACAAATAGAGTAGGTAGGTACCTTATCAATTCAGCACGCCCTACGAAAAATCGAATTGCAAGAATATCAGTCCTCCAAACTGATCCACTAAGACAAGCGTATTCCCGTGTAGAGCTACACTAGTGTCTGGATAATCACTGGGAACCCATAGAACACCCTTTTGATCCCGGGTTATCCACTCCCCATCAAACAATAGAGGGGAATGGTCCTGAAGATTCTTGTTGGGGGAGACAGAGGTTGACAAGAATCTAACCGCTCCAGTATTCGTCCTCAAATACTGGCCATCTTCCGAGAATGTTAGATCTGAAATGGCATGTGGAAAGCGGCGACCATGAGGCTGGATGTTGTGCCGGTACAAACCCGTCGCTACGTCCCAGAGTCGGACTGTACGATCTGGAAACGAAACCGATGCAAGCGTCTTGCCATCCGGCGAGAAGGCTATTGCCAGGACCCATTTACTACGCCCCTCGAGTGTCTGCTGATGCGTGCCCATCGCTACATCCCAGAGCCGGACCGTACCATCGTCCGAGGCCGACGCGAGCGTCTTGCCATCTGGCGAGAAGGCCACTGCCGTGATACGATCGCTATGCCCCTTGAGCGTCTGCCGGTGCGCGCCCCTCGCTACATCCCAGAGCCGGACCGTACCATCCTTCGAAGCCGACGCGAGCGTTTTGCCATCTAGCGAGAAGGCGACTGCCGTGATACGATCGCTATGCTCTCCGAGCGTATGACGGTGAGCGCCCGTCACTACATCCCAGAGCCGGACGGTACAATCGTCCGAAGCCGATACGAGCGTCTTACCATCTGGCGAGAAGGCCACTGCCGTGATACGATCGCTATGCCCCTCGAGCGGATGCCGGTGAGCGCCCGTCACTACATACCAGAGCCGGACCGTACCATCATCCGAAGCCGATGCCAGTGTCTTGCCATCTGGCGAGAAGGCGACTGCGTTGATATGATCGCTATGCCCCTCAAGCGTCTGCCGGTGCGCCCCCCTCGCTACATCCCAGAGCCGGGCCGAAGAATCGTTCGAAATCGACACCAACGTCTTACCGTCCGGCGAGAAGGCGAGTCCTCTAACCTCATCCCTATCATCCGCCCCAGGTAACAGCGAGAGCAAATTCCAGTGGTCTTTATAACCCGCAATCGTTTTTATAAACGGCAGCCTTTCTTTCCATTGCGCCCGTTTGACCTCGCTCCTCGGTGGACTGAACACGAGCGCGGAGCCATATGTCTGCAATGGAGCTTGTGTAATTATCCAGTTGTGGAGGTGGACAAACTTGTGGGCATCTTCCAGAAATCTAGCAAGTTGAGGACTCGTATCCGACTGCTCAAGGTGGTTAGCGATGGATGTATTATTGACCACGACCCAGAACATACCCGGACAGTATGAAGAAGCTTTTCTATCGATAGGACTCCATCCGAGAAATTGCCGAGGAGAGACAGACTCTCAATCCAATTCAGGAACCGCTCCTTCAGAAACTTAAGCACTGCTCCATTATCCATTAGTTCCCTTTTGCACTCGGAGCTCTCGTCGTTCAGGATATGGTCGACCCAGAAGACACAGGAGTATCGTATCGGAGCCAATGGGTCTGGCTGGGGGGCTCTTAGACCCTCTGGTTTAAAGCCGAAGTCGAGGTTGTAGATATTCTGTTTCAGGATCAAGGACATCGCAGCAATTGACCGCCTGCTGATGTCGGCATGCCCTTGGGCAACCCCAGCTGGCTGAAGGCTGGACGTATAGTTTTCGTCCAGGTAGTCCTTGGCCGACTGGTGGATCAGGTATACCGTTTCCTCCCTGGTCGTCAGAAATGAGCCGCATTTCCTAACTATCGTTCGTGGGTCCATATTGGTTGGCAGAGCAGCGAGTACTGGAAGCTCGGAAAGGCTGAGAGGGCGGAGTGCGAGGGTAGCAACGGCCAGGACGCCCTTGCAGTATTCAGGGTCTTTTCTCACCCCCTTCTCAATTTTGGCCATCATATGATTGTATAGCTTCGACAAGCCAGAAGGGATCTCCTTGATAATCTCGACAGCGTACATCCCATGTACGTGGTTGAGAGTCCCATCTTCTGCGTCGAGTTCTTTGAACACGAGAGCCACCCAAAGAAACGTGTTCTCGGCTCGTTGGCGAACTTCCACCGCGACCTTTGCCAAAATGCCTTCATCATACCCCTCTCTGGTCTTGAGGATAGAGAGCTTGTGGTCGATATACGCATTGACGGGGCCTTCCAGCTTCTGAGGATCAAGCTCGACCAAGGAACCTGCCGTAACCGGAGTCTTGAGTTCGACTGTTGGACGGCTTGAGACCAGCCACTTCACTTTGTCGGAAAAAGAAAGGGACGATGTGATAAGTTTGATAAGGTCCCCAAGACCGTGCTCACACTCGTCAAGAGCGTCGATGACGAAATACACCGGGGATAGGTCAGGGTCTTTTAGCATGCTCTCGAACACACTAGACAGAGCAATAAATGCACTGTCGCCTTGGAAAAGAGAGGGACCAGCGATCTTGTGCTTCGATCGTAGGTGGGAGATAAGATGCGGTTGCTGAACAAGCAGCAGCCAGATCAGAGACCTCAGGGTGGCCGTCGCGCTATTCAAAGCTGATTCTGTGCCCTGACAGAAAAAGTGCGAGACGTAGGGTGCAAGCTTGGCGGACCTACTCAACAGCTCGCGAATGATGCCTATTAAGAGCATCGTCTTCCCTGTTCCGGCATGACCTTTAACCCACAGCAGGCGACACGACGAAAGGGCAGAGCCGTGTTCGCTCCAATTTGTAAATGCTGCGTACGCCTCCGTGTCGAGGATCCACATGTACGCCTCATCCAAGAGCGCATCCTTCTTCTGCTCAATTTTCTTGATATCGTCTTGCGGATCTACCACGAAGAGGTCTCGAAGGCATTGTGCGTCCTCGTCATCCCTCCGCATCTCCTTCTGCAGGGCGATAAAATCTCGAATGTCTTGGCCGATGGATTCTAGCAGCTCCTCTATTCGTTTGGCACGGTCGATAAGTTCGCGCCGGAAGCTCCCCGCTTTGATGCTATCGAACTGGCCCCAGTCGTCAAGAAGGGAATTTTCCGCGTCGCGCACAGCGTCGAAGTAGCCATCCCAGTCATCCCAATTCGCAAGGGCGCGGAGAAAGACCAGACCCTGGTGTCGGTAGTAGGAGCAGACACTTTTCATCTGGTACAAGAGGATAGCCTTGTAGAGCGCGATGACCCTCGCTTGCAGCAGGGGCAGGATCGATTCAAGAGATTCGTCGATGTGATCTTTTTTCAAGAGATGCTCGGACAGGGCGCAATACCAATCCATTCGGGAGACGACGTGCACGATGCCGGCAAGGTTCGATCTTGTCGCTTTCGCAGGATTCAGGAGGATCTAGATGAAGGTCAATGGACGGAGCCAGGCCTCACATGGGCCTACTCACCTGCAATCCGACACAGACACCAGCCCAGGGAAGCATAGCCTGCGGTATGTTCTGGATGGCCGCATCGATGATTGGCTTGGCCGAGAGAATGAACTGGGCCACATCGCCCACTCCCTTGGTAATGCTGGACGGCGTAGAAATCCTCGCCTGACCTTTCTCTACCAGCTCCCTCATGCGTGCCTGTCGCTGAATCGGGTCTTTAAATTCGGCTGACAGGTCGGTGCTAGAATCGATGTCCAACGCTACCATCAGAGTCTTCTCGTATGACCTGACAAGTTCTGCGGTGTCTGCATCCTCCTCGAGGCTATCGTACGCGGCGTTCCAGAGAGTCTGAGATACCGAACGGGCAGGGGGCTGTTGCCCTTCACATTCGAGCGCGGGTGGCTCTCCGGTTAGGGGTTCGACAGGGAAGGCGGGAGACAGAACGTGCGATGCCGTGGCTGACGCTTTAGTTTCTTTGGCTTCCTCCGTGGTGGCTCGCACCGCTGTCGCATCGGCGCTGGACGGATCGAGATCGGTCGACGAATTTGCGGCATCATGGGACGGCGTTTCAGTCGTGCTGTGGCGGTCTTGCGGTTCGAAAGACTGGACTGTTGCTGGAGGTGTGAGTTTCAGCCTGTCGGCTCGGGTGTTCCATCTCAACGTACTGGTAGATGATGCGCGGGACGGGGCAGGCGAGGCTATGCGACGTCTGAAAACGCGCGCCAACCCGCCCTGAAGCGATTTTCTGAACCCTTTTTCGCTCATGGCCGGGGTAAGGAACCCTACGGAGAGAGAGATGGTTTGGGCAAGAGCGGCGAGATGAGGGGAAGTCGACGAGCTGCGTGGCTGAGCCGCTGAGCCGCAGCCGAAGACTGCAGTTGGCTGATGTTGCATGAGCCGTGGCCGAGGCGTGGAAGGGGAATTGGCAGCCAATTGCCCTATGGGCGCCAAACGCGCTCTCAACCACCTGGATGTCTACGCAGAAAAACCTGACAGCGACATCTAATCGCGAAGACCCCATCAACAGCCGTTGACACTTCCCCTGAAAACGTCCAGCAAGCGAGAAAATCCCCCGCTGTCTACGGCGTCGATCCATTGCTCCGACCGCTTCAGAGCCCAGCCGTCGCCACAGCGGGCGACAGCGCCATAAAAATCCAACTTCAAGGCCGCGTACGTGACCTCGTCTCCCACCGCGGCCAAAGTTGCTTCATCTTGTCAGCGTAGACGTTGCGGAGCTGCGTCTGTTCATACTCCATCAAGTGAATCCAGTACAACTCCGTCTTCCCCTCGTCATCCAGGTCATCCGACCCCTTGACATCATCGCTGGGGTCTCCATATCCATCTCGATTTAGCTCCTCTTCCCGTGCGGGCCCAAGCAGAAACTTAGGCATCTCGGCAGCCACCCAAAGGGGTTTGCATGAGACGCACCCCCAATCGATCAGCGCCGTGACCTTGCCGTCGTCGTCAACCAGGATGTTTTGCAGGGAAAGGTCGTCGTGCCAAAGCACGGTTTGTTCAGCTGGATCCTGGAGAGAAGGGAAAATCTTGGGAAGCAGCTTCGTCAACTTGGCGGCAACCCGCATAATATCTTCGGCGTCCTCTCGGTCGTCCGGGTCTTGTTCCTCTGCGAGCACCTCAGTTTGCTCTTGACGGATGATGCTCAAGTACGCGCTCAGCCAATCGTGACTGGATCGGAACGGGCCACGGGCAATTTCGTAGTTGAAATTGTTTCCCATAAAGAACGTGCGGGATACGATCCGGCCTGGCTTCGGTTCACTAGAAGGAGTATATTCAGACTCCGGTGAGAGCGTGCCGATGGATTGGAATTTGGCATCCTCGAGGCTCTGGCGGAAAAAGTTGGCTTTGAAACTCGGCGACTTGTTCGACAAGCCATGTCTTTTCGGCCATGGACATCTTGCGCCACCTCTTGTAAGCAGAGACGCCAGGCATCAGGTCCATGAGGATCCACTCAAAGCCGACCTCGTTGTCCTGGCTGTCGTCAAAGGCGATGATCTTGGGGACGGGAACATGGGTTTTGCGGCGAATCCAGCGTAAAGTGCTAACTTTACCCCGTGTTCTGTGTTGGGGATCAACAGGCAGCGACACGCGGAGCAGAGATGTGCTACGAGGGCTCTCGACTAGATAGAGCTTGTTGAAGGCGCCTTCGGCATGGAAGGAGACGCAACAGCGATCCTCTGCCAAGAGACCCAACACTCTTCGACAGAGTTGAGCAATGTTGTTGAGCTGGGGCTGCCGTGACCAGCGATGCCTCAGGTCGAAACCGCTCTCATCCCACTCGAGTCCGTCGCGTTGGTGATGCGGCATCTTGACATGGTTCGACTGCTCGGTCTGATGGGTTGAGACATGCGATTAATGAACGCAATCGGCGGTCGCACTTTACCCCGTGGCCAGAAAGGGCAACCAAGCCGCGGCAATCACTTTACACCACGGTTGGTGAAACGATCGTTGGGTTTTAGTATTGAAAAAGAGTGGGCGTATTTTGTGGTTGGAAGTGGGCGTGAAGTTCAAGGTTGGAGTGCCCAGCCCGAACCACAATAAATACAGGTACTGATGCAGTGGCTCCTGCCCACTTCACAGCACCCAACAAGGACCCGACAGTACCAAAGCGATTTTTGTCATCATACCTAATTAAGGCCACCAACAGCCTTGGTACATAAGTTGCAGGTCTTCTCTATAGCCACGGTATACGATTCCTCACGAGAACCAACCCGCCAGCCGATGATATGTTTTCCAGATCTACCAGATCTACCCAGAGTACCATTTTGACATCCAACCGAGAAGGTACACACAGATCCATCCATCAATTCAATTTCCCTCCCCCATCTCAACATCCGGATCCACCTCCGTCCCCAAATCCCTCTCCTCCAAAAACCTCCTCCCAACCAACGCCTCCGGCAAATAATCCTGCTTCACCCTCCCATCCCTATAATTCGGCGGGTACTTATACTCCTTACCGTATCCCATCTCCCTCATCAACCGCGTAGGCGCATTCCTCAAGTGCACCGGGACGGGCAGCGCCGCAACCCCCGGCTCCTGCAGCGCACTCAGCGCATTATTCAACCCCCTATACGCACGCGTCGATTTCGGCGCAAGACACAGCGCGACGGCACAATGCGCTAGCGGAATTCTAGCCTCGGGCATGCCGATCTGCTGCGTAGCTGTGTACGTCGCGGTGGCGAGGGGAAGCAAGGAATTATCCGCCAGCCCGACGTCCTCGGAGGCAATCACCACCATGCGCCGCGCGATGAACAGCGGGTCCTCGCCCGACTGCAGCATGCGCGCCAGGTAATACAGCGCCGCGTCGGGGTCGGAGCCGCGCACGGATTTGTGGAAAGCTGAGATGGTGTCGTAGTGCTGGTCGCCCGCCCGGTCGTAGACAAGAGTCTTGGTCAGGGCCGCCTTAATGGATTCTTTGGTCAGCGGTTCCCCGCCGCCGCCGCCGCCGTCGGCTTCTGGAGGCCGCCGGTTGGTCAGGGACAGGGCGAGTTCGAGGAGGTTGAGGGCTGTGCGGGCGTCGCCGTCGGCAAAGGCGGAGAGGTAGCGGAGGAATTCTTCGTCGATCAGGGGTGATAATTCGAGGCCTTCGTCTTCGATTTCCTGCTGTAGGGCTCGCACGAGGATTCGTTGTATGTCTTCCTGGGTGAGGGACTGCAAGGTAAATGTCCTACACCGGCTAAGCAGCGCCGCCTGCACCCTAAAGCTGGGGTTCTCTGTCGTCGCGCCAATCAGGGTTATCGTCCCTGCCTCAACGGGCTTCAGAAAGACGTCTTGTTGCGCCTTGCTGAAGCGGTGGATCTCGTCGCAGAATATGATGGTCTTGCGGCCCGTCAGCGCCAGTTCGTTGGCCGCCTCCGCGAAAAACTTTTTGCATTCCGCCACGCCACTGCTGGTGGCATTCAGCTCGATGAAGCGACTTCCCACGCGCCGCGCGATACACCGCGCAATGGTCGTCTTGCCCGTGCCGGAACCGCCCCATAAAATCATGCTCGGCACCCGGTCCGACTCAATCAATGACCGCAGCACCCCGTTTGGTCCGACGAGGTCCTGGCCGAAGACATCATCTAGCGAGAGCGGTCGCATGCGTTCTGCTAGTGGGGCCGCCCGGCTGGTCTTGGTGCGCTTCGCGAGGGGGCCAATGCTGCCGTTGTTCGCCACTGTTGCTGGTTCTGATGCCGCCGCAGTCCCATTTTTGTATGTTTCTTCTCCATTCGCGCCTGGCGTCACGCCAGTTGGTGATGTAGTGTATCCCGGCCCCTCTTCGTAGCTCCGTTTGATCCCAGCTTTGATCCCAGCTTTGATCCCCCCGTTGCCGTTCACCTGCGATGGGGTGGATGTCCTCGTCGCGTGCGCGGTACTAGTAATCTGTCTCTTCGCGGCTGGGGTCTGGAAGAAGTCCGACGCTGATCTCTTTTTCTGTGTCGAGCTCGGCGGCTGGCTCTGACCGTTGTTGTGCGATTCGTTCGGCGAAGGCGAGGCAGACTCCTTGGCCGTCTCGTCGATTAGGAAGGTCTTGCATCCCGAATCCAGATGGCTATTGATTTCGGAGGCCTTGACACCCCGATTGCAGATTGGACAAAGCACCATCGAAGCGGCATATATTGGCTGCGAGCCTACCATTGAGCGTGGTAAATTTTGCGACTGTGATGTTGGGAGATGTGGTCCAGGAAATCGATTATGCATCCGCGTCAAACGACGCGTGTTTGCGTGGTGGAGGCGTTAACTTAAGTGCTTCCAGGGACACGATTTGATGGCGTGACCCTTGTACCGCAGATCCCCCGGGTGCTTGGGAGCAAAAGCCGGCCCGCTTTCCTGGCGCAACAGTCGTGGTTAAACATTCTACAGTATGACCAAGAACAATATTCAAATACGAGTGACATAAGGATATGGTATCAAGTTGATGGGAGTAATCCCAGGTTGCCATGTTCCAACCGCCGGGTTTGACGGCTTGTGCCGCTCCACCGGTCGTGGACCGCGGTTACACAATACAGTAACTTACGTACTGTACGAAGTCCAGTCATAAGACGTACGTAACTTACAGCATTCCGACTGTCATCGTTCGATCTGCTCTGTCCGACTAACAACAGCATATGTATCAGGGATGGGCCTTATACAAGACGCTTCACAGAGTCTGCCTTCAAGACCTTCTCAATCCCAGCCCTAAATACCATGCACAGCTGTCTTCGGGACCAGCGACCCCGTTCTCTGGCAAAAGTGTCTCGACACAGGAGTCCGATCACGAATGCGCCCACTTCAAACGTGTAGTGACCATGAAGACAGTAGAAATACTCCATAGAGGCTGGTATTTAGCGGTATAACGCTCCACAAAGAAGACCCAAAGCGACTTGTCTAAACGCCTTGTATAATGCAACTAATGGGCTCGTGCCACCGCCGTCTGAGCCAGCCATCCTGCGGACGGCCATCTGATATTTTGATTTCGCCCACCGCCCGGCTGATTACCCGTCCGCGTGGACTATAGTCCTAGCTCCTCCTCCTCCTCCTCTTATCGTGAGGGCATCATACCATAAACGACTCCCCACACCCGCATTGTTCCTCTGCAGAAATAGTCAGTCCACCAACTTCACAAGACAAGCAAAAACCAAAACTAAATCCAAAAAGGGACTCAACTTACTAATATTCGGATTCCGAAACACAAACCTCTGACTCAACTTATCCTCCACCCAATCCATCTCACTCCCAATAATACTGAACAGCGCCTTGCTGTCAATCAGCACTTTCACCCCGTCCTGCTCAACCGTCTCGTCAAACGCGCCCGGCTTGTCGACGTATTCGAGGTGGTAGGCTAAGCCCGAACAACCCCGGTTCCGCACGCCGACCTTGATCAGTTTTGGCTCGGGCTGGTCCAGCATCTGGCGCAGGTGCTCGACGGCGGCGGGGGTGAGCTTCATGGCTGCCTTGCGCGGCGTGCGCAGCCGGGTGGTCCGGGATCGGGCCGCTGCCGGTTGTTGTTGTTGCTGGTGCTGTTGAGATGTTTGCGCGGTGTTCTGTGATGCTGAGGTTGGTTGGTTCAACTGTGAAGTGGTCGCGGTATCGGGGATAGAAGAAGGTGAGCTTGTCGTCGCTGCAAAGCCAGGCCTGGACTGCTGTGCTTCCTTCTCGGGGATCGAGACCGTCGAGGCGTCGGCTGCGGCTACCGGCGCCGTCGGCTGCTGCCTCGGCGGCCGAGTTTCGTGCACCTGGGGAAGTGGCGGCGACTGTACGGGACGCGCGATCGAGGTGTCCGGTACGGAAGCATTGCGAGGCGGTGCGGGCGGTTGTGAGGGGAGTGTGTATGCCTGAAAGGCTGCGATGAGCGCGGCGGGGGTTGACGAGAATTGACGTTGACGCAGCAGATTGCGCCGGCACGACAGGCAGATCGAGACGGATCGCCTCGTGATTAAGCTAGGTGCGTTCATCCTCGGCGCGTGAAAAAGTGAGCGCAGCTAACGGTAGCTCTTGGGTTTCAACACCGCCACAGCTTGCTAATGTTGTTGTGACAGAAAGTTGGGGAATCGGGAATTTCCACTTGATGATTTCTAAGGGACGACATCAGCCGATGACATGACGCCAAGCCTCGGGCCATCCCGGTTTTCATCGGGCCAATGAGAAGCCAGCCATTAGGCATCGCCCTCACGGGTGAACTGCACCCGACCTGAGCATGTGCAATCGCGGTGTTTCCATCCGATCACAAATGTCAAACAATCCGTAACGTACTTGATAAGCGAGCGAGACATATAAGCGAGCGAGACACCACGTTCTTGGCACGACGCGTCCTTCTTCATCCACCCTCAACAGCGCGTTTTTCCTATAACTAAGTATGTCTTCCGCTTCAAAGGAAGCTAGGGTAATCTTGGCCCTTCAAGCTCTTCAGAATGACACGAAACTAAGCCTACGAGCCGCGGCCAAGCTCTATAACGTACCAGTTTCGACCCTCGGCCATCGACGTACTGGCCGAGCTGTACGACGCGATCTTCTAGCCAACTCGCGGAAGC